TCGTTGGCATCTGTACCTGAGGACGAGAACAGTGATGAAGATGAAGGGTACCATCATGATCTGGATAGTATGCCATCACCCGTGTACATCAGTCACAACACCACCCGTAGGTCCAGTCCGCCGGCCAGATTCGTGCGAGACCCATATGCAGCCTCTTTAGCAGATGATAACGAGCAACTCGGAGATGCATTCGACACCAAGATCGACGAGCCTGGCTCCCATACCCAGGAGTCTAGCGAAGCGGAAAGTGTTGCTAAGCATGACGGCGCCAAAGACATCTCAGTGGCCCACAGCGCTCTGCTCGATGCCATCTCTGCACCAGTCAACATGGCAAAATCTGCAACAGAGTTAGTCACATCTGAGCCAAAAACCACCACTTCGGAGGCCCATCCTGTCTCTAATCTGGACTCTGAGCTTCGGCAGCGCAGAGCAGTATTGGAGGAATCCTCGCAGACAGAAGAAGAAATGCCAGAAAGCGCCGCAGATGATGTCAGCATCACGGACAAGATCGTCGAGGCAGCGAAGCCTGCACTCGCACAGCGATCAGATTATCGCAGAGACAACTTCCTCCAACATTTGTTCCGAGCTATGTTTGCTGCTTGTTTTGGCGATCGGAAACGAGCCAGGTGAGCAAACACTATTTCCTTTTCCCTGAAATTCTTGAGTATGTGCCTTGTGGCACTCTTCCTCCACTCGTTCTCCACTATACAGTAACTGAACTGAGGAAAACTATCGCTAACATGGTATTACAGTGCTTCTGCTCTCGTTCTTGGTACAACCGCTGCAACTTACTATTACGCTGCAAAAGCATCGAGATGAGAAGATAAGCACAAAATGGGAAACAAAATGATCGAGATTGGTGTGAGGTTGAAGTTGGCATTGCACCACACTGTACGATATAATGGGCACGAAATGAGCATAGCGACGCGAGAACTGCCATACATTGCACTGCATACGCGTAATGAGATTAATGACCTGGGTTTCACGATACATAAGCATGCGCTCTAGCGCGCTGGCGTTTCATATAGCATTCACTCTCCTCTTGCTCAAGCTCCAACAATCCTATCTTACAACAAGAAATGGAAAACGTGTTTTTGTGCTGCACATACATTATTCTAGATTGAATATGATACTGGCTGGACAGTAACTACAATACATGGGTGGCGAGGACTAGCATCACGAAACTTGCGAAATCTTTTCCATCTCTCAGCGGTCTGATTCAACAACAATGTGAGACATCACTAGCGTATAACCAGACATGACAGATAGCTTGAGCAGTCATCACAATGGGACAGAAGCAACCAAGTATGACTTATATCATGGTCTCATTTCTTCTGTATATTCCTACACAGTGGTACTACCTAGGTATCTCATATCTTCATAGCAAAGGTTTCTTCATGTAAAAAAGCGACAAGACTCAAGTCTATTGAAGCAATCGTCAGTGAGTGTAACACAACGGTAACCACCATGCTACACACTCAGAAAATAGCACACGCAGAAATAGGGAAACGAAACGCGACTGGCGCTGCATTTTCTTACAGACGCGGCCGGTTTGCTCCACTCGGTTGTGCACTCACCGACTTGTTCTTGATATCGTATCGGTCGTTGTTCATAATCTTCTCCCAGCCGGCAACAAACTCCTTGACGAACTTGTCCGCGTTGTCGGGCGACGCATATGTCTCGGCGATAGAGCGGAGTTCGGGGTGCGCACCAAAGACGAGGTCGTGGCGGGTGGCGGTCCACTTCTTCTGGCCAGACTTGCGGTCAACGCCCTCGTACAGCTCCTTGCTTGCGTCGGTTGCCTTCCACTCGGTGTTGTTGTCCAGAAGGTTGACGAAGAAGTCGTTGGTGAGTTGACCGGGACGCTTGGTGAAGATACCGTGGGATGAACCGTCCCAGTTGGCGTTCAGCGCACGCATACCACCGGTGAGAACGACCATCTCGGGTGCAGTGAGGCGGAGGAGATGAGCCTTGTCAACGTCAAGTTGCTCGGTGCGGACACGCTCAGTACCCTTGCCGAAGTTACGGAAACCATCGGTGACGGGCTCAAGGTGCTCGAAAGACTGAACATCGGTCTGCTCCTGCGAGGCGTCGGTGCGGCCGGGTGTGAAAGGAACGGATACACCAGCGGCCTTTTCAACGGCAGCAGTACCGGCCAAGACAATCAAGTCAGCGAGAGAAACCTTCTTGTTACCACCGTTGAACTTGGACTGAATGCCCTCAAGAGCCTTGAGGACCTCAGCAAGCTCCTTGGGGTTGTTGACCTCCCAGTCTTTCTGAGGAGCGAGGCGGATACGGGCACCGTTGGCGCCTCCACGCTTGTCACTGCCACGGAAAGAAGCTGCCGAAGCCCAAGCAGTGCGGATGAGCTTAGCAGGCTCGATGCCAGCGTCAAGGATCTGCTTCTTCAAGGTGGAGATCTCAGCGTCACCAATGATCTCGCCCTCAGGCTGAGGAACGGGGTCCTCCCAGATGAGTACCTCCTTGGGAATCTCAGGACCCAGCCACCTAGAGCGGGGGCCCATGTCGCGGTGGAGAAGCTTGAACCATGCGCGAACAAAGGCGTCGTGAAGCTCCTCTGGGTGGTCCAACCAACGACGAGTGATCTTTTCGTAGGCGGGATCCATGCGCATCGACAAGTCGGTGGTGAGCATCCTTGGCTTGTGCTTCTTGCCCTGGTCGTAGGCGTCGGGGATGATCTTGTCATCGGTCTTAGCGACCCACTGGTTGGCACCAGCAGGGCTCTTCTCGAGCTCCCACTCGTACTTGTAGAGGTACTCAAGGTACTTGTTACTCCACTTGGTGGGTGTGCCAGTCCAGGTGACCTCGAGACCACTGGTGATGGTGTCAGGTCCGTTACCGCGACCGTGCTTGTTCATCCAGCCAAATCCTTGTGTTGCAAGATCCTCAGAGTTGGGGTCTGGGCCAGTGTTCTCCGAAGGAGCAGCACCGTGGGTCTTTCCGAAAGAGTGACCACCAATGATGAGGGCAGCGGTCTCTTCGTCGTTCATGGCCATACGGCCAAATGTTGTGCGGATGTCGTGAGCAGCGGCAACGGGGTCAGGAACACCCTCGGGACCTGAAAATGTTAGATCGATGAGTCTAGATATTTGACCGGTTGTGCTTACCTTCTGGGTTTACATAGATGAGACCCATGTGTGCGGCCGCCAAAGGCTTCTCGAGATCCCGCGATGTGTGGGTCTCGTCCTTGTCAACCTTGTGCTGGTCACCGTCCATAATGCCCTCGCCCTTGACACCCTTGGCGCCATCGGCGTAGCGGACGTCGCTGCCGAGCCACTCAGTCTCGCCACCCCAGTAGACGGACTCGTCAGACTGGAAAGTGTCGGCGCGGCCACCAGCGAAACCGAATGTTGGGCAACCCATGGACTCAAGGGCGACGTTGCCAGTGAGAAGCATCAAGTCGGCCCACGAGATCTTGTTTCCATACTTTTGTTTGATGGGCCAGAGCAGGCGGCGAGCCTTGTCGAGGGAGACGTTGTCGGGCCATGCGTTGAGGGGAGCAAAGCGCTGCTGTCCCTCACCACCGCCACCACGGCCGTCGGTAACACGGTAGGTACCAGCAGAGTGCCATGCCATACGGATGCTATGATGAGTGTTAGCTTGGCTTGTCGAGGTCAATTGGATCTCGAACGTACAAAAGACCACCGTAGTGACCAAAGTCGGCAGGCCACCAGTCCTGGGAGTCGGTCATCAGGGCGTTGATGTCCTTCTTCAATGCATCGTAGTCGAGCTTCTTGAACTCCTCGACATAGTTGAAATCAGCGCCGAGGGGGTTCTGTCTGGGGTCATGTTGGCGCAGGATGTTGACCCTGAGCTCGTTTGGCCACCAGTCGGCGTTCCTGGTACCAGCGCCGGCGACGTTGGGCGTCTTCTTCACGGGACACTCGCCTTGAGACATGATGAATCGTTTGGTAGTGTGTTGTAGAAGAGGATGTTTGAAGAAAACAAACTGCAGAGCTCGCTATCGGGACAGCATCTGGGTATATAAGTAGCGGGGCATTCATAAGCACGACCATTCTGGCCAGCACCTTACTGGCTTGCCCCTCCCGCACCTGGGCAGTCCGCCAGTGGCTCCGCATCTCTTAGCTCCATCCTGCCTAGCATCACGAGAGGCTCCACCCCACGATTGCGACTTTGACCAAGAACTCTATGCTAATCCGACGTGCTGACAGTGGCACAGTATTCCATTCGTGTAAATTGTCCCTATCTCCCATACGCTCTTCCCAAAAGCCACGATTCTTGTCGCCGCCACACGCAATGCCATGACGTGCGCGAGTGGCATGTGGGCCTCTTAGACCCCGCTTTCGGAACCGCACATCATCACTGTAATATTCGCCTTGTGATTGGTCAACGCGAGTTCACGTGACAATGAGTAGCACCGAGGCAACGAGAAGCTATGGCGGAAATCGGCGGCTTGATGCGCTGGACAAGGCCAGACACCGACTTTGAGTAAGCCGTCCATCCAGAGCAAACGCATCGCCAACACTGCCAGAGTAGCCAGACCATACTAGATCGCGTAATATATGGAAACTGCTAGACGCGCCTATACGTGTGATCGACCGGGCATGCCATCATCCATGACTTGACGGCAAATAGAAGTATACGGAATTCTAATCTATCAGCCATCATTGATCTCAGAACAACTCGCAGGACAATGTCTGAATCAAATTTTCTCAGCCACTCATGAGATCGGCCTCTGCACGACTTGGAGTGCTCATCGTGGCAAGAGAATCACCGCGACACTACACGTCTACGCCGTTAGCCTAGGAACTTCGCAAGGTGTTTCCTCATTACTTACTTAGCGGTGACCAATTCCAAGACGATACGCTATTATATGCACGACGGTGTTATTGCAGTCTTAGTCGAGATCTGTGTTTATCTGAAGTTTGAAGCTGGCGGTCTCACGCCACCCTATCCTGGGAACCCCACGTACATCACCCCGCAACGCCCGCGCTTCATATATGGGGAAAGCCAAGCGCCTTGACGGCTCCAACAGCCACCCACTTCGCTCCTTCATCAGCCCCTCGCCGCGGAAACCTCCCGCTTTTACACTTGTAAGGATGAAAGAACGATTCGAAGCTACTGAATCGCGTTCGTGACGATCAACCTTTTATTGGATGATTGTGGATATATTCCAAGACCGAGGTTGTCACGTCGTCGTGCCATTGGTTTGTATGTCACGATGGATGCAGTTCTACTTTGCTATTGGAGAACCTTACTGTGCAAACAGTGGTTGTGGGTATCCTGGGTTGAGGGGTAAGATGAAGTTGAGGGGTTCATCTACTGTTGTGCATCCGATTGTTTGACTCTCCCAGTCCACTTACCTCTACTACTAATTCTAAGCGCAATTGTATAAACTTGCCGATACAACCAATTCATACATACACAAATCCAACAACATGGCAGAAGACAAGGTCCAAACTTTTGATATCCCGAAAACATGTAAAGCTGGTGTTGTAGTCAACGAAGGCCCGGACTTCCGCGTCGAGGTTCAGGATGTTCCGGTGCCTGAATGCGGTACGTACTGGAAGACTAAACAGAATGTTTGAAAAGCCCTGACAGCAATGATAGGTCCAACGGACGTACTCATCAAGCTCAACGCGACCGGTATCTGCCACAGCGATCTTCACTTCATGCTCAACGACTGGGCACTACCGAAAATGTCAGACCTCGGTACAAAATGCGCCGGACACGAAGGTAGCGGTGTTATTGTCAAGGTTGGGGATCAGGTCAAGAACCTGAAGCCGGGAATGCGAGCTGGATACAAGGTGAGCAAATTCGCCGTCCACGTAATTTTGCGTGGAAAGGAAGCGAGAGCGCGAGCATCCGAGAGAGCCGAAAACTAACTCTTCCAGCCAATTCAAGATACTTGCGGCTCGTGTGAGCTTTGCCGCAACGGTAACGAATGCTACTGTGCAAAAGCAGTCTTGACCGGATTAATGATCGACGGTTCATACAAGCAGTACATCGTCTCACCCGAACGCTACACAACCCTCGTCCCGGATGGTGTGAACGACTACATAGCAGGGCCGATCATGTGTTCTGCTTCAACAATCTACACATCGATCAAGGAGTCACAACTCCGACCTGGAGACTGGGCCGTCTTCCCTGGCGCAGGGGGCGGTGTTGGCCTACAAGGCGTGCAACTGGCGAAAGCCATGGGTCTACGCGCCATAGCCATCGACACTGGCGACGATAAGCAAAAGCTCTGCATGGAAACTGGAGGCGCGGAGCACTTTATCGACTTTAAGAAAGTAGACAACGTAGGCGAGGAGGTAGTACGGTTGTGCGATGGTATCGGCGCCCACGGTGTCTTCGTCACTGCTGTTCAGACTTACCCAAACTCGATATCATACCTCGGTGGCCGCGTTGGTGGAAAGGTGATGTGCATCGGACTGCCGCCGGCTGGGACTCAGCACATTGATGTCGACCCGAACCAAATGTGCTTCAGGAAACAGAGTGTACAGGGTACACTTGTGAGCAGCATGGCGGACGTGGACAAGACGCTTGACTTTGCTAAGCGGGGATTGCTGAAGCCGATTTACACGGTGTATCCGTTGAGCAAGTTCAACGAGGCTGTGCAGAAGCTGAAGCGTGGGGAGATTGCTGGACGAGCAGTTGTCGATTTTAACATGGAGTAGGTATATGGCGGGGTTTCTCTGTGAAAAATGTTGAAATCAAAATTTCCAGAAGTTTGTACGGCGAGGTTGGCATAGCGTTTGAATTGTGATGATGGCTGTAGTTTGCATGTGATGGATTGTCCCTGGGAATGCACAGACCAACCTTATTCGTCGCACCTGTGTTATCGAACGTCAACCACGCCTCACGATCCATCGCTACAACAGAACATCTCTTCGCTTTACGTAATGATTGCTTGAGAAATGCGCCCTAGCTTTCATTGGAGTATATGTCGAGGGCATGTCCAGCTCGTCGTCAAATCCGTCCTCCCGCGGACAGGCTGAAGCATCATCGAGCCGCACATTGAACGGGAAGCAGCCAGTTGTTGAGGACGACCACAGCGATGAAGAGGAACTGCTGGCGGATGATCCGCTAGAGCGCGATCTACCTGAACAGTAAGCAGATGCAGCACATTTTTGATGTGCTCTATATTAAGATGCGTCTCCAGACTCTCCTTCAAGCGCAGACCCAAGGCATCCACGTCCTCCTTCGGCTTCTCGCGATACCTCCCCTCCTCCCTCGGTTCATCCAGCGATCGCACCTCGCCCCAGCCACGATCGCACCGCCCGAATGGCTCAACGGAGCTTATACTCAACTATCTCGATACACCTGGCAATGCGGGCGAACATCTCCAAGACACCAAAGACGCGAATGGACTAGACTGGTACATCGAAGGCCCAGGGCGGCGAGTTGGATACGACGACCTCACCGCAATTGATTGGATTTTCGAATACGCAAAGGAACGACAACGACTGCGCTATCTATACACTGGTTCTAGCGGTGTGCTTGGCCATATCAAACAGTTGGCGGATGCAAGCCAGGTCTGGATCATTCTGGTTGCTGCCGGCATACTGAGCGGAGGTATTGCAGCATTTATCGACGTGGCCAGTGATTGGCTTGCAGATCTCAAGACGGGTTATTGTCACAATGTTGATGGAGACGGGCGGTTCTACCTGAACAAGAGCTTCTGTTGTTGGGGAATCGAGGAAGAGCAGGCTTGCCATGACTGGAACTCTTGGGGTGCTGCCATGGGAATTGAAAGCGTCGGTGGAAGATATGTTGTCGAATACATATTCTTTGTGCTCTTTTCAGTGCTCTTCGCAGCATGCGCTAGCCTCCTGGTGCGAGAGTTTTCGCCCTATGCGAAGCACAGTGGTATACCTGAGATCAAGACTGTCCTGGGCGGTTTTGTCATTCGGCACTTTTTAGGCGGATGGACTTTGGTCACGAAGACGATCGGATTGTGCTTCGCAGTCGCTTCTGGTCTGTGGCTGGGCAAAGAGGGCCCGTTGGTACACGTCGCATGCTGCTCGGCAAACCTATTCATGAAGCTATTTGGTAATGTAAATGGCAATGAAGGTCAGGCTTGTTACCCCGCTGTTTTCCCAGATACACTAACATCAGAACAGCAAGGAAACGAGAAGTGTTCTCGGCCGCGGCTGCAGCAGGTATCTCAGTCGCTTTCGGTGCGCCCATTGGTGGCGTGTTGTTCAGTCTCGAACAATTGTCGTACTACTTTCCGGATAAAACCATGTGGAGCAGTTTCGTATGCGCGATGGTTGCTGCTGTCACGTTACAGGCCTGTAACCCGTTCCACACTGGGAAACTCGTCTTGTACCAAGTCACGTACCATAGCGGGTGGCATGACTTTGAGCTGCTACCTTTCGCATTTCTCGGAATCTTAGGTGGACTATTCGGAGGCTTCTTCATCAAGCTCAATATGGGCGTTGCTGAATGGCGCAAAAACCGACAATATCTCAAAGGGCCAGTGACGGAAGTGGTTATTGTATCTTTTATCACAGCGCTTATCAACTTTCCCATCAAGTTTATGCGCGCTCAGGCGTCCGAGCTCGTGCATATCTTGTTTGCCGAATGCGCAGACCTCAATGAGGACACACTCGGTCTATGCAAATCTGGCAAAGCGAATACAGGAGTTATCGCGCTCTTGCTCATCTCCTCTGGACTTGGCATCATACTCTCGGGCTTCACATTCGGACTGCAGATTCCTGCCGGTATTATCCTCCCATCTATGGCTATCGGGGGTCTTTTTGGACGTGCTGTAGGACTTTCAGTCGAAGTGGTCCAGGCGGCGTGGCCAGCCCTTTTTGTCTTCAAATCCTGCGAACCGGACGTACCCTGTGTAACCCCAGGCACGTACGCTATTGTTGGTGCTGCATCAGCGCTTGCCGGAACGACACGAATGACTGTATCGATCGTGGTTATCATGTTTGAACTTACCGGAGCGCTCACTTACGTTCTGCCTATCATGATCGCAGTCATGATCAGTAAGTGGATTGGCGACGCAATCTCTCCCCGTGGTATCTACGAGTCTTGGATACACTTCAAGGGCTACCCTTTCCTTGACAATCGAGAAGACAATGGTTCTAGCATTCCTGATGTCGGCGCAAGCCATGTTATGACACGCATCGAGGACTTGACTGCAATCACAGCAACCGGTCATACCATTGGTTCACTGCGCCAGCTTCTATCTCAACATAGATTCCGTGGCTTTCCCGTCATAGACAACAGTCGCGATGCTCTTCTACTTGGTTACATTTCCAGAACTGAACTGCAGTACGCACTTCAACTCGCTTTGACGCCTCCACGAAGCTTGGCTGCCGAAACAGAAGCTTACTTCTCTCATCAACCCCTCTCTGATCCCACGACATCACTCGATCTCCGACCCTGGATGGACCAGACACCGATTACCCTCAACGCCAAAGCTAGTTTCCAGCTTACTGTGTCCATGTTTCAAAAGCTTGGTCTCCGCTATGTTTTGTTTACCGATCGAGGTATGTTGAAAGGCTTGCTCACCAAGAAAGACGTTTGGTACGTCATGAACGGCATTGAAGAAGAGCGCGAAGAAGGCGGTGCAGGCATTGGTGTCGGGAGAGGGGGACTTAGAGAAGAAGGCGATGATGACGAAGAGAGCGAAGAGAGGGGATTACTCGGTACACCAGAGGAGGAACAGGATGACTTCATTGGTGCGCACGACAGATAGTCGCGTGCAGAAGCTGTAGTTCTCATTGCACATGTACAAGTAGAAGCTCTGTAATCATTATCAAAAGAAACTTCGAACTCTAATTGTAAGACGTGTTTCTGGTGATCTTACGGGAATCCGCAGATCCGGAGGATGGCAAGGATAACATCCGATCGTTGTTGTGGCAAGTTAGCCGTTGATCGGGGTGGGGGAGGCATGTGCGCTGGAAACCCACAAATAGAAGTCTCGCCCTCTGTTCCTGCAGGCACCGCTACAGGCTCGTTGTTTCGGCCTTCGCGACGTTTGTAGAAGGTCACGAGGTATGCCTGCATCGACAACGAAGGGCTACCTGTCCACCGCTCAAATACGCGCCAAGGCCACTGGCGTCCAATCACATATGCTTGTCATCTAGCGTTGTGTAAGCAGACAGTAAAGGGCCTAGCGCGTGGCTATACCGCGGCTTTCTTGCTACCTGCATAGACCCGCCCTTAACAGCCGGCCGCGCCCATTCCGACTTCAGAGCCTTTCACTCCTTCGGCCTTTGACGTGTCCCCTCGTTTTCTAAACGTCTTTGACCTCCCAAACAAAAGCAACACAATCTGAACCCGAGAATCAAAGATCTACGCCCATCATGCAACCCTCGTTAGCGTAGCGCAAAAGCACCCAGCGGCTATGACTGAACCTTGGCATACGTCGCGGACAGGACATCGACGACGATTACCGCGTTGAACAGATCCCACAGCTTGCCCGCCATTACGACACTCTACACATTTTCTTTCATTTTTCCCAGATCCACATCCACACACGAACTAGGAAGACGACATGGCGGCGACCGAAACTGAGAGAAAGAGCAGGAGGAAGCATTCGTCATCGGCGAAGACTTCGAAACCACGTTCCTCCTCCAGGAAACCACGAGTATCGCCTTCAGTAGCAGATATGTACTTGCAAGATTATGCGCCTCCAGTCCAGGCGACTTCGCCTCAGCGTGTGACAGCGACGAGGCCTACCCCACCTCTTTATGGCTATTCTGCAAGTCCACCTCAGCACGCGGTCTATCGTCAGATGCCTGGTTCTTTCCCAGAAGATGGTTATCTATATGGGTCTCCACCGCCGCAACCCGTTCAACCCTATGCTAGTCAATCGACTATTCGCTTTGCTTCTCCACCACCCCATGAGCCCCGCGGTCAAGGTCCATTCGAACAACAATGGAACAGCCTTGATCGGATGGCCGCCAAATCGTACAGGAATCTCCGAGATACGGCTGGAAAGAGCGTGACGAATCTGACTGCCAACTGCATCGAGCGACCTACGGCAGCTGTCGCTACCAAGAGCATGCAGACTTTGTGCAAAGGAGCCGCGCTGTACGATATAATCAGCTCAAAATTCGACTCGGTCATCACCAGTATCGACGACGATCACTTCAGCGGCAAAGAACAGGATCTTATGATGGAGTTCAGTGAGCAGCAGCAGGAAGAGGGCCAGAGAACGAGTCCGCCACTCGGCGAACCCAGACGCCGGCGTCAAAACGACGTGCAATCCCACTCTAGTAGCGACAAAGGGTCAAATCACTTTTCAAAGGTGTGGCTTTACTCTAATTCCCGACTACCACCTCATTTGCCGCCGTTCAAGGTCTATCTGCCTACATATCCCCTACTTTGCTTAGCAGCAACCTACTCGGAGAAAGCCTACACGCCTCCAGGCACGAAGAAGAACCCTGAAATGGAGACCTTCATCCCTGCTGATTGGCGCAGTGGAACGAAAGCCATGGTACTCAAGTCCATTCCTGTGGAAGAACTGAACACCATTGTCTTCGCCATTCGCGGAAGTCAGACCTTTATGGACTGGGCTGTCAACTACAACTCGGCGCCTCACAGCCCAGAAAAGTTCCTCGACGACCCTTCGAATTTATGCCACGCTGGCTTCCTTTACGTGGCAAAGAAAATGATCAAGCCCGTGGCAGAGCGTTTGAAGGTTTTGCTTCAAGAAAACCCTGCACGTTCTAATTGCAGTTTGCTCATCACCGGTCACTCCGCTGGCGGAGCTGTCGCCGCACTGCTTTATGGGCATATGATGAGCACGAAGATCAACTCTGAGCTTAATTACCTTACGAGTTTCTTCAAGCGTGTCCACTGCGTCACGTTCGGTGCGCCACCTGTTACTCTGTATCCGCTAAAGAAGCCTGACGACAAGCGCCATCGCAAGAGTCTCTTCTACGGATTCATCAACGAAGGCGATCCTATACCGCGAGCGGACAAGAGCGTGCTGAAGAGCTTGCTGAAGCTCTACGCCAGTCCAGCACCCGTTGCTGTTTCGAACATAGCTTCAACCATCACATCAATGTCCAAGCCCAACCTCCGAGACCCGTCGCAATCTTCCCCACCTAAGACAAAATCGAAGTATGGTTTTGCCCAGCGACTTAGCAGGCCTTCCAAATCCTCGCTACAAACAAACACGTCCAGCTCTACCTCTTCAACGCTTCCAGCGTGGCCCATACCAGCGTGCACTTTATCACCTGCAGGCAGACTAGTGGTACTTAGGCAGCGCGTTGGAAGCAGGGTTGAAGACGATATCGAAGCAGTGACTGTGGACGACGAGATGCTGAGGAAGGTTGTATACGGTGATCTGCTGAAACACCAGATGGCCGTCTACAAGAAGAGGATCGAGAACGTCGCTGTTAGAGCGGTGACTGCGAATGGGTGTTGAGTAGCAGAGATGGGTTGACTGTACATGAAATTGATAACCGCACACAGAAATGAATGAGCGATGAATTTATGTACCCAAATTTTTGAACTTCTGTTCTTGTTCCCCTGTGCTGCTGTATTGCCTTTGTCTAGTTTCCGTGTGTCAAAATCTACCAACCACGCCGTCGCCAATGCTTCAGATCCCAGGAGGGAGGTGGCGGCTTTCCATTGCATGGAAGCACGGACTGCACAACAGAGGATACCACCCCGTCTACATTTTATACCATACAAGTTTCAACACCCTTCTGTATCACGTCAGCTGCTACGGGAGCGGCACTCCTTCTACTTCCTTACTTGAGTAATGTTCAAAATACGAGTGAGTTGTCGCACAGCTAACAGCATGAGAAACAGATGTGTCTCATCCATAAGAAACTCGCGAACTTATGGATGTTGAAGACTATTCTCCACAAGAGTGTGGAAAGAGGGAACAAACACCAAGCTAGGAAAGGCCATTATAATCCGGAACACTCCTCATCTCTGTTGATATCGAGCGGAAGATGATTGAGAGTACTGCGAAAAGCGTAAATGCCAAGGCTCATGGCTTTGGCAGAAGGATACCTAGGTAGCTTGGCTGAGAGTTGTTTGCAATGAATTAGCCTAGGAACTGCAAATCGAATCGAACAAATCCCGTTCTGAACATTGTTGTCATCTTTCATACAAGCCTTCACCAGTGTCCTTCAGCATGTTGTTGTTTTAGTGGCGAGATCACGTTATGTTTTTGTAATAATAACAAGTGAGACGTACATTGATCCATGCCCAAGTTTTAACTTTATCAAAGGGTGTATCGACGGCGTCGTCTCGCTTCCAGAGTTCCCAAACGCAATTGCAACAATGCCTTTGCAATGCCATTGATCGAGCGAGAAAAATACAATTAGTGATCAGCATCCTAGATATCCGCCACTAGGTTTCCTTGCGGCAATAGTAATCAACTTATCTTCGCAATGCCGGAGCGAAATGACGGAATGGCCAGCTTAGCATCTTAGTAATGTAAGCCCTATGCTACAAAACCACCTCCCTCCCCACGTATCCGTTCATTATATTTTGCCCATCTTAGAGCACTTTGTACTGCCATATGACAAGTTTCGCAGGTGATCGTTTCCCTACATTCGAGTGGTGGGCACCAGCTCATCGGTGGGAAGGGTCATGCTCGCTGATCAGCCTTGCATGCTCGCTCACCCAACAAGTCAGCACCTCAGCTCACTCAAGCGACAACTCCGTACATCTTCGTCCATGAATGAGCGTATTATATCTTCAGGCCACCTCTGGCTCAACACAACGTTGGCTGTGCGACCAAGCAAAGCAGGCAGCTATGCTGTCGCGTAGCACCTACTGTACCCCGTCGGCGAGAAGATGCGCCGATTGCGGATCTCCCTCGTGACCTTCCGCTGAAACTCGTCCGCGTCGCAAACAATTGGAGACACATTGCGTAGACCTGACTATAGAGAACACAGCGCCAGGAATAACACGACAGACAATTTAGGAGAGGTATAAAAGGCAGACAGACGGCCATTCTACGGAGATACTCGAGCAATTGTACACGAAAAAACAACACGAACTCCCTCAATTGATCACTACACAAACGACGAAATGGCGATTCTCCAAATCCCCAGCGAGTACGGGTACGTTCAGTCTCGACTGCGATAGCAATGACAATGGCAGAAGCCCCCATACACCTCTCAATAGTCTCCCTTTCAGAACCAGCCTCCTCACCAAACCAATTAAGAGACCACCGACTAATTTATGCTCCACAGCTACGTCCTCGCCGCCTGCGTTTCCACGTTCTTCGTCGGTGCCTGGCACGGCGGCCGCGTTGGCGGCTTCCGCAAAGCAGCCAAGATTCCTTACCCCTACGAATACGCATCCTACGAACAAGTTCAGACCGCCTCTCCCCCATCCAGGTCCGCTATGCTCGCCTTCAACTCGGCCCAACGCGCACACCAAAACTTCAATGAGAACCACGTCACAGCCCTCGGCGCCATGCTCATCTCCGGACTGAGGTACCCTGTCGCTGCGGCCGTGTTGGGTGCGGTATGGAGTGTAAACCGCGTAATTTATGCGATTGGATACTCAAGGAGTGGGGAGGATGGTGGAAAGGGAAGGTACTATGGCGCGCTTGGAATAATCGCGCATTATGTACTCCTGCTTATGAGTGGCAAGGCGGCTTTTGACCTTGTCATGGGTTAAGCAGGTTACAGGTGTGGGTACGAAGATGTGAACTGGAGATACCTTACAGCTTGATGGTGTGGCGACACACATTCAAATGCAACATGTGAAAAGGTACCATCTACGCTTCATTGGTGATGATCTGAACGTGAGCTGCAGTCTTTCCTCCGGAACAAACTCTCCTTATAAGAATATCAAATATCCTGTATTATCCCAGTACCCCAAAGTCTTGCATAGTCCGAGCTCACGTCTGCTTTCTGGAAAAACATGCTGCTAGTCATGCTTTTACCATTCATATACATGGGCTCCCTTCCCGAAGGCTCACGCTCACACTTCTGTCTTTCCAGTAAGCCCCGATAACTCCAATGCACGTATAGTGCCCTGTACGTCCTACATCTCGTCAGCCATTTTGAACCGTGCACGTGGAGGAATGAGAATACTTACCGGGAACGCAGCAAGTAGACACAAAAGATTGCCAGCTAGGAAGAAGCCGATTGACGCAGCGACCTGAATAAGTAGCAGCCTGGCGTGCTTCCATAACTCATCACTCGGGTCACGCGAGTGAAGGACAATTACAGCGATGGGCGCTGCAAGCAGTCTTTGGGTTATCCGTCGCCATTTGTTGTAGAGAGAAAGGAAACCTGGGCTGTAATTGCCGTTCTGCAACTGGCGGTTGGTAAGGTCAACGTGCAGTTGAAACCCTCGGATGAAGCACAAGAGACCAATAGCAGCTAGGACGTTAAGCCACTCGTGATGGCGTGTTGCAGCCGAGCACTCCAAGCCCTTCTCTAGCAGACGCATGCATTGCCTGCGAACAGCGCGGTCGGTTACAAAGGTAGATGCTATAACCCGCGCTATCTGAACAACAATTAGGCTGATGGTGTACTGCACGCCGACAAAGAATTGGCTATTGAACACTGGCTTCGCCGAAATCATAGAGCGACGACTACGGCTACCACGAGCTAGTAATGAGAGTAGTCTTGGAGTTGACTCTGGGGTTTCAAGTCTGTCGTCGACGAGGATGTACCCGTAGGTTTGGCGAGTGTAACGAGCTAGACATAGACAGAGCGCGTCATAAAGTTGAGAGAAGACAGCGACAACAAGCAATGTGACGAGAGCGGCGTTGACTGACATCGAAAGATTCATGGCTAAATAGAGAAGGGGATCTAAAGGTGTAAGTCAGCTCATGTTGTGCCTGCCATGTTGGAGACAAATACGTACTTCCCTGCCACAACGTAAGCCATACAGACTGCACGAGTGTTCCTTGCTGCGACATATTGGTTGTGAGTAATTTCGGTTGAGGATAGAAGGGAATTGAATGACTAGAGTGTCAACGACACGATAGAGATTTTATCTGTGCCACTTAGCGTGGTGGAGGTGAGCGCGCTTGTCTCCTTGATACCGTTGCACCTTCCTCGCCTCGAACGCAAACACGTGAAGCTGTCAATCGTTCGGCTTGCTGCAGGCAATCTACCGCGCTTTCACTTCGACTAACTTCACTCCCGCTCGTACATGCAGAACTCAAATTTGACACCCTGCTCCTCAATTCCACCTTCTTGGATCTCTTCGCCAGTAAAGTTCTGCACCTCCTCTCTGCTACTATTCCTCCATATCGTTGTCTCGTCCAGGTTGATCGGAAAGAAAGTGTCGCACTCAAACTCTTTGTGAATCTTTGTGAGAAGCACTCGCTTCGTTTGTGGAAGCTCCAGCGCCGTGTTGTATATAGTTGCTCCACCGATGACAAAGACTCTGTCCAACTCGACATTCGAGCTTGGCAACTTGTTCTCTTGCTGACTTTCAAGCTGCGACAATGCGTCCAATACGCTAGAGCATACCATTGGCCCTTCCACATCGCTCTTCTTGTCTAGTTTACTCATAAACTCTTTAGGGTTTGAGGTGATGACAATATTCAGCCGGTCCTTCAGGGGACGGAATTTAGGTGGTATGCTCTCCCAAGTCTTGCGGCCCATGAGTACAGCATTCACTTTCTTGACGCCTTCTGTTGATGTAGAAGGCGACGTGCGCTTGGTCACTCGTGCGAAGAACCCCATCTCCTTCTTGAGCTGTGGCCATGGCAGGCCTCCACTGTTGCCTATGCCAAGATTCGGCGTGGCTGCGAGGATAAGAGTAAGAGTTGGAGGTTTTGGTGGCATGGCAGAGACGTTTGTATCGCGGGTGGCTGAGTTTTCCTTCGATGTCGTGCTGATTGGCTTGGTAGAAGGGAAATCGTCAGACATGGCGTAGTGCGTTTTACCGCCGATCAAATTTGGGCCACCGAAAGCTTGATCGTGAAATCGAGATGTAAGCTGTATGAATGCCTGACGTGGGATGTTGCATTAGTTGCATGCGGGGCCACAATCACGCTAGTGACAACGCGAGAGAACGTGATCCAGCCCTATGGGCTGAACGTGTCCGCTAGAGCGTACCACGTTGCTAGACCTAGTTCAAAACATCCTCACATTTCTTTAGCAGTCTCTGTCAAGTCACGCTCAGCAGGAACCGGTGTGACTTTCGCACGAGTTCACATTCCCGTACACAGACTCGAGGTATAATACACAGGCTGATTGCCCTTGTTCATGCACACGAAAATCCAACACCAAAGACACACGCTGACAGTACGACACGCAGCGCTGCATCATCCCATCATGCCCAGTCCGAAACCCTGCCACTCGCCGAAAATGGTCAAGACACTGAACGCCAATAATTACACCTTTGCAATGCCGCTACCCGGTTGAAATCATTTGCATGAAGAAGCAAAATCCCGTACAACCCCTTTCATACAACGTCGTTCTTGCTTGCCGAGTTTCCAATGGGTATCTTTTGAGTTCTTTTAAGGCTTGCTGTGCAGCAGAAATACGGGTTTCCTCCACATGCTCGATTGTTGCTCACTGTCGCGGAGGAGACATACGATACTATTCGCTTTCGCCACCCTCACCACTACTCTTAAGTGGTATTGACAATGAAATCTTCTTTGGCGTACCACCACTGTCCTTGCCGGAGTTCACATTAGGCGACTTCCTACGCAAACTCCGCAAACTCCCAGAACTGGCGTTACTAGACGTCGAAGCGCGTCGCTTGGGTCCAGCAGAGGTGGAGATGCTTGCGAGAAGCTCGTCTTCTTCGTCCTCCTCTCGTCGGCGCTTCTCCGATATCCGCTCTGGTGGCGATCCCGCGGATGTCGAGCTTGGTGATGTACCTTCTTCTGGCGTTTGAGTTATTGGAATCTTGTGAGCAGAGGCGGCCACGTCGCTTGCGAGATCGTCCATGTCGGCATCATCGGCATCGTCATCTGGGTAGTTGACGAGAGGTCGCACCGGCGATGCGCCGTTCATGGCAAGTTTTCCAGCTCCAGACAGATGGTCGTCCTCGTCATCTGACGTATTAAAGTAAGCCTCTTCGTCTGGGTCCACCTCCTTCAGACCTTGTCCCCACTTTCCACCGTTGATGGCAGTAGCATGTCGCGCAGGCGTATCGCTATCCACACTTGTGAAGGAATTGTCCATCTCTTGGGTAGTTACCGGTTCATGGTTTTGGTCATACTTGAGTATCAAGTTCTGGAACGTGTCGACGTAGGTAATGTCTTGTAGCTTTTCTCTGTATGTTTCAACAAGATGCTGGACGATCATCTTGATGTTCTCGCGCCTGATGAACTCGAACAGCTCCAAACATGCCGAGTTGAGGAGGTTATCGCGAGGCATGGTATCGAAGAGTATTTTCAAGATCGGCTCGAAAAGTTCGTGTTGGATGATCTGTCGATTATGCGTCTCGTCGTGGAAGCCAAGTACGGTGCGGAAGTATTTGAGCGCGGCTAGTGAGGATTAGTAAATTGGAATGAAGCATTCCACGGGAGACTTACTGAGCTTCAGATGCTTCTCTGGGCAACCCATGAGTTGGGCAACCCGCACCGCCAGACCTTCTGAAAGGATAAAGTATTTGCTGCGGAAAGAATGCTGGCGAATAAAGAAGCACAGAACCTCAACGAGGTGAGCGTATAGTGACACTTCTTGCATCGATAGATCGTCCACTGCGTTGTGTTAGTTCAGAAGGTAAGGAAATGAAGAGTACCACTCACTTGATTCCCGGCCCTCTAGGTCTTTGAGAGGCTGGAATAACTTCCTCGCCGACTCGTCGTAGAAGTTCTGTATGAAAGAGTCTGTTTGGGGTATGGATGGCAATTGTCCCCTCATTTTGGCAAGGAAGTCACTATTCGTCCGCCCGAGCGCTTCTATAGAAGCCGAGTTGGCGTTGGGATCAAGTAGAATCTTGATTGCATCAGCCATCTGCGCCTTGACTCCAAGGTCCACCTCAATAAGGAGCAGCTCGATCAAGGTATCGGTGAGCGGCTTGGACTTCTCTTGGATAGCCTTGAAGATATAGCTCCGCACCATCAGCGCGTCATGGTCGATCAGCGACACGAGTATATCGGTTCCCGCAACACGAACCGAAGCGTCCTGGTGCTTGAGCGCAAATTGGATTACTTCTAGCAGGCCGCTGCTAATGAAGTTTTGATATAGCTGCGCTCTCACATTCGCTTGCAAGCTCTTCGCTATAGCGCAGCATTGCTGAATGAACAGCACTGCGTCCTTCTTTCGTGCCAAGTTTTGCTCCTTCGGAGAGAAGATGCTGAAAAGCTCCTTCAAGAATGGACCGTTCGCTTGGAGATGCTGGACAATATCGACTTGGTGGAAAAATATAAGCGAGTTCAGAACGCTGAACGTAGGGTCGTCGAGGATGCGCGCAAGAACAACATCCTTGAGGTATTGAAGTCGGTACGTGTAGTGGATCTTCCGCTTTATGTTCTCGTCCTCTATCCGTACGACCTCTTTGAACTTGGATTCGTCGGCAAGGTACTGTCGGTGATTGGCTTTGTGTAGAGGAAAGTCTGGGTCGTCTATGCGATGTCAGCAAGCCATGTGGGAGGTCGCAGAGACCAGTACTCACACTCCAATGCCCCAACGACTCCCAGAACCACCGGGTCTGTTACAACGTATTCGATAATGGCGGTGTCGTTGAGCAGGATGAGCATCTTCACGATGCTACATAAGCGGTGTAGGTCCGAGACACTTTCGAGATCCTCTGCCATGTCTACAAGTGGGATGAGTTTTGGTATGTAATCTTGGGCGAGTATGAACTTGGCCAAGGCTTCACGACCGCCCGGCGTCGAGTTGGCAGCGCGCATGTGGTTCTCGATTTCGTGGAGGTTGCCAAGATCGGGACTTGGGAGTAATATGGGACTAATGTGATCGATGTCGTCTGAAAGACCATCGTCTATGTCAGCATTAGCTCGCTTGAAGCTAGGCGCGATTGATATCACGTACCCTGAGCGAGTGCTTGCAGCCGCGATTGGACTTCGTTCACAAAGTCCCTGTTATGTATTAGCACATGGCTTCAACTGCAAGGCATTCCGGCTCACCATATGCTAGCGCAGCCCTCTGGCTCCTGGAAGCTAAGGGCCATGTCGGTGCCATTCTGCTCGGTCCAAACGATGAGTGTGTCTGCATGTGTTCAGCTGATGTCTTCCCGCAGCGAGATATGGGCGCATACCCTGTTGTTTCTGGTAGCCGTCATCTTTGGAAATGCGCGTTTCGAGCAGTTGTCGCGACTGGTCGTCCTCGGATAGGACTACAATTCTCGCTTCCTCTTGCTGCAGTCGCACAAGTTAGCCTCGAGCCTTTGCAGAGGGTCAAATAGCGGGAGTTGCGCAAACACGGCGCCTAAACGGTCTAAGACATAGGGAAACATACGCTTGCTACGACGCCCTTGCAGAAGCCAGTGCCTCGATCGAACCAGTCATTGTTCTTGAGCTCGTATACCTTGACGCGCTTTCGTTCACTCGCAGGTGGCGGAGCGACGTTTGCCATAGCCGGCGGCGGCGTGTCGACACTCTCCGGCTAGGGCGTGTACCCTCCGGAGGCAGGCGGGCTGTCGCGATCGTTTGCGCAGTGGGGAGGGGATAATTGGCGGTGGATAGGGCGGAGGTCGGGGGTGCGGTGATCGGGGCGGCTGGGTGTTGTGCTGGCGGATGACGATTAGGAGGCGCGGCGGCGCTTGCGGGCTGTCGCAGAGCTCGGCAGCGCGATTAGAGATGTGTCGATGGGTGAGCCCCTGCGCGCGCAGCAGTGGAGAGGATAACGCGATGGCGCGTGACGGGAAGGGTGATGGTGATCAGCCTCGGACACTTTGCAGTCGCGTCGTGGGTCGCAAAGTCGAAGCGGGAGAGCACAGGGCCGGGCTTGGGCACAGTGCATGCACTAGCTTGGAAGCGCAATGCGAATATCGATAAGAGCCTAGACCGGCGGCAGCAGCAAGAGCCTCAACACCACGCTGAACCCTGGAGATGGCTGCGATGTATGTGCGCGATCTAACAGATGTTGCGGGGTAAGGTATGCAGTCGCCCGATTAGTTTCCAAGGTTGGCGTGAATGAGTGCAGCAGCTTTCGCCTCGTATGACGGCAGCCCGAGGAATGCGCGCTTGTCCACGGCCTCACTGACGCAATCTTCTTGGCACAACCACACTCAACACCACGTCTATTGTGCCCTCTGTCGAGCTCTATTGTCCTTTCAAGGCGCTTGCTGCACAGTATACTATGCCTTCATACACGTTCTACTGAGATCCTGCCACGCATGGGCGAAGTCGCGAATCACAACTTTTCGACACCTGTCATCGGAAACAGTGGGCTGGTGGTACCGTCAACCAACTGTCCCACTCAGTAGGACCGAAAACTCCATGGATGATCGACTGCTAATGTTAGCATTTTCTATCTCGAAGACATCGATCGATTCCTGTGCTTATCGTAAGCACATGACTCGACACCTATACCTGCCACCACTATAATGCTGCTCTCGTCTTTCAGGCAACAAGTGCGCGCTCGTTCGCCCCACGGTCACGTGCTGTTCATCATCTATCTCAGCTTCAGATGGAAGGTGTCATGGGTGTACGTTGTGCAAGCGAGATATCGACTGCAGACTGAAGGTGCCATCTTGAGACACCCGTCGATGTAGCTACACTAAGGCTCAATTGACCAGCATCGGACTCTCCCTCCGCTTTGATCGTATTGCCAATTCCCATCTGAGTTGCAACTAAACTCCAGTTAATACCACTAGGCGGCAACTCCTTCTCCACGAAAGCCACTACCTCACGACTCAGGCTCGTGAGATCAAATCCATTCTCTCCAGATAACCTCGATAACCACCAAGCGGGTCATACCCATCTTCAAGCGGTTAGTCGACGAGTCTCGACTCTTGACACGCTGTACTTCTTTATAGAGTGAATGTGCTTTTCCAACTGCAGGACCGACAGCCACAAGTATGCGCGATGCGGGACCATGCTTCCACGCAGCCGGTGGCCTGAGTCGCCCATATTCAAACGTCCCAGTTCGCAACGCCAACGACCAACACTAAGACGCGTCATTGAAGCCCATGGTCCTGCGCGAACTGTCACCGTTGCGACGAAGTCAATGAACCATCAACTAGGCGGACGCCTCCTCATATATTCTACCAGTCTTGACACTCCTAACTATAGACACGGCACACTTCGATGCACCGGCACTAGGTCTAGCCTTAGTCTTCCAGGGTATGGGGATGATAGCGTGGGAGGCCAATCACCAACTTACGAAAACGCGCCATGGTCCGCGACCATTGCCGCATTCGTCCGTCTGTGGCAGGTTGGGAGGCCAGACTCAGGCGCTCGTATACGGGAGCTGAGGTGTGTCGGAGGTCGCTAAACAACTTGGGTTTGTTTATCAACGCTCGCTAGCCTTTTTCGAGTTTCAGCAGCTGCGCCTCACAGAGGGATCTGCATCTGAAGCGCTAGAAGCAACGGCGCATGGACGGAAACCCAGTTCCCACGCTACGCAAGTGCCTCTCCCGTCCGTCTGTTGGGAAATCATAATTATCCATTATAGATTGCGCTGGCTACCCCAGAGGCAGGACACTTTCCGCAAACACCTTCACACTGGGTCTCAACATCTGCACCACAATTATTATCAACTACCAATGATGTCCACTTCCATGAAACACAAGAGCATACCAGCAACATTCAACGAAAAAGCGCCCGCTGCTACTGCAAAGTCTCCGAGACCCACATCCGCGCCGTACCCAAACTTTTCCAAACCTCTGGCAAAAGAAACTGCAGCTACTACAGAACCCAAATTAGTTGCCGCCGAAGAACTACAGGCCCGGATCAAAGCTGCGAGAAGGAGCAGAACCGCTACTCAGCCACTGCCTGAAGCAGTACGACGCAAACTCGATCATTCGTCCGACCTCATACACCCAGCCTTGCGCGCCAGGAGCGGCGTCACACCAAACTCCAACCGGCCCACCAGTCACAGGACCAAGAGTCGTGAAGATCTATCCATCGATGCTGTGATTCGGCGCCTGTCGATGGAGATAGATGGGCAGAACAGTACCAAAGGACGCCAACTTCCAGACGACATACCTCCAGTACCGACGTTACCAGCCTTTCCGCCCGCTGCGAGCTATCGTCCACGACCCCGCCAGACCGCGAGCAGAAGGTCTTCCATGACGATGAGACGAAGTCCCTTGTCAAATGTTTCGTCTCCGGACGGTAAGCAGGAAGACGTTGGTTCTAGAGAAGGATGCTAATTCTTAGGTATAGACTCTGCAGAGACTTCCTCCCACACATCCAGACGTACTTCAGCTTCTTCTCGTAAGCGTTTCTCACACTTCTCACACATACATACTAATGCTCAACGTAGGCACATCCAAATCCGAAGAGTCCAAAGACGGCGGTGACGATAACGACGAGATGGTACGAGTTATCAGTACAGAAACATCGAAAGCTAGGCTCGCAAAGCGGAAGCATATCTCGGAACCTCCGGCTGTATCTCAGCCCCCTCCCTCGATTTTGCGATCCACATCACAGCGGGCCAAGAGTCGGAGTTCATGGCACACAATTTCTCGACGCAGTATACTCTGCTCAGTATGATGACTCCACCTTCATATGTCATGCCATCGGCCTCCGATATATCGCAGAACATCTTTATTTTGCATTTCAGCGTTGTCCTACATTGTGCAAAGGGTTTTGGCAGCACGGCGCTTGGGAATGACTCTTGCTATCTGAAACTGTTTTGCTTTCACATGACGATTGAGAAGGATTTGAGCGTTCAAAGGGGCACAAATAGCGCAGGAGTTCTGGCGTTTTTTTCCTTGTGTTTCAGCAGACGACATTACTGAGCATGGTCCATTGCAAATCTACGCAATTAGTCCGCAACATCAATTATGATAATCTTACGACATCACTCATCTTACGTCTTGCCTTATCTCTCTCTCCTATGCTCAGACGAAACAAGCCTCGCCTGGATCCTTCCATGCATCTCAAGCACGTTTATCGAGGCAGATCCACTTCTCTGGAAGCAATACTTGTTCGACCTATGCAAGCCACCAGCCACAAACGGGACGGGCTCCGAACCTGGTCGGCAATACAGCAAGCTGCAGTAGTCGGCGCTCCGTTGGCCCTGTAACAAGAAATCGGACATTGTGCCGTGTCAAACAGGCTAGTGAAAAGTGGTAGTTGCGCGATAAGGTGCGGCGCTCCCGGGTCTACAAGCCTAGCCAGCCAGCCATTGTGATCCAGGAACGTGGCTTTCGGATGCAGGGTTGCTATCTGCGGCCGGCACCACGGGCGTACGGTGAGACGGCTTATCCCAGTAACCATGATAGCAGACCATACATGCGATGATCGTTGACTCTGAATTTCTACGATGAGGAAGTAATGTACAACGTCTCCAAAATCAATGGGCGTCAGGTGGAGACGGGTATGGCGGCCGTTCCTGACGATCATCCGTGCTGGTGACGATGGTTTCGTTTACGCGAACGGCCGAACGTCCACAGAACGTCAAAGTCAGCCTCTTCGTCTGCTGGCTCGCGACCCGCCACCCCCATGTACAACTCATTGACAAATTGTCAGCTAAACCTTTACTCGTCTTCAGCAAGCTTTTGACGTCGTCACCGTCACTGGGGCAGGTGAACAGGCACCCGCAATCCGATTTGACATGGCGCGTTGCTACCAGGTACCGGGTCCATGACACTATTACCAGGGAAGAATGGATAAATTCTTCGGTCCCAGATTCGCGACACACGGGGGCCCCCTAGAGGACGTCATGCCCAGGGTCGATCAATAGCGCGATGCGACGCCGAGGTTTTGGGTTGCGGAGGCTGTAATGTTCAGACTTTCGGAACCGTAAACCGGAACTTTGGGATGTGCATCTTCAGTACCTGGATTCTGACGCGAATCCGAGGTCTACTTACTTTCGGCACGGAATCCCCGCGATGATCACGATGGCGATCACATGCGCTACATGCAGGGCAAACTTGCACAACTTGTGCGACGCGCGTTATCGATAAGCCACTGGATCGAGCTGGAATTCACTCCCGAAGCTCCGCAACTCACTCCACGCCAACTCCATCCACCCCGCCATGAATCCCTCGGAGCGGACGAAAGAGGCACTTCTCGGTAAGTCCATTGCGCGTTCGTCTTTGTTGACCGCCGACTCTCTACCGCGATGCTATGCTCACAGTAGAGCGCTTTCTGACGGTTTACCAGCCAAGACAGAAGCATTATGCGGCTCTATCATAGACACGCGCAAAGATGACCCTTGGGGCGGTGACGGTTACCTCTCAACCATACTCCGCGCTGTGAAGATGCAAGATGCGACCGACTACTCAGAAGACGATACGAGAACCGAGTTTCCGCCTGCATTGGACTATGCAACGTCTGCACAAAGGGAGTTATTGATTAGAGAGCAAAGTGCCGCACTGGTCAGTTCACACTTGCACCGCCAGCGTCGGATGTGTGGTTATGCTAGACCCGTGCGGATCCGCCCGGCATACACACTGGATGCTAACAAACCATAGATCAGAACGGCCCAAGGCATATCGACACTCGTACGCGACCTACAAGAACTTTGGCTCTTCGGTGGTCTCGACACTCTCTCGGATCCTGCCGACGAAGAAACGAACCGGACAAAGGCACTTGCAGTCGCGGAGATGATTGAAGCGCTGGCCAAACAGGGACCAGGCGGTGTAAAGCAGAAGGAAGACGGCACAACCAAGAAGGAGACAAACGGGGAGGCTTGAGATAACAGAGTTATGCGAATCTGCTTTGCCATACTGTGGTCATCTGATGTTGTAGAGAACACAGTGAGATGAAGGCAAGTGCTGCCAGTATTTGATACCCCGGAGGACCTGTCCCCAAAATTAGGATTATATGAAGCTATGACCTACCTGTCACAACTATGCACTTGGAACCCGGTAGTAGCTCTGAAGAGTACCTGCTTGGTTTCACTAACATGCGAATATCGCTTTGCTTTCAAGGCCACGCAACAAACGACACGGCACTGCGGAGGGTACACACGACTAGTAATTGCCATGTGCCGAACGGCTTCTAGCTTTTAAGCTTCTATACACTGCACGTGGACTAATCAACCCGTTTGATTCTCAATGTTTCACTCCGGAGGAATATGATTAAATAGTTTTTCCCTTCAGATCTAGCTTGCGTCGCAGTCCAAAATTCCCTTACTTCGCTTTTAGCATGTCTACTCTGCTATTAATGTCCTTCATTCCACTTCGTATTAGATCCGCATGCCCAGCTGCAGGGGCTATGTCTTCAGTGCTGGACTTAGCTGCCAATTCTTCGAGTCTCCTCGAAGTCGGCTCATGCATGTGGCTGCCAGCTGATTAATTCGCTCATCGGTCTCGTATTTGCTAAGTGCTCTATTCGTAGGAAGTTGATTACTTTCTGATGATTCGTGTTCATTTCTTTCAAAGTATCGACACATTGTTCGGTAGTTATAAAAAGAATATATGTCTCAGCCCTAGGAGCGTAGCAACTAACTATACGAACGAGATGAAGATGACTGACAGAGGTCGTGCTGGTTTGGTGACAATCTGATGGACTGGGGTACTGGGGCTTACCCATCAAGCGCCGTTAGGTCAATGATGATTTCAATTACTTGTGGAGTATTCGTTGTTGGGGAGGAGGGTGTTATAGTATTGGCCAAACTTGGGTGTCATTGTGTGGCAGACCGAGACAGAACTGTCTCTTGTTTACGACTAGCCTTACGTTTTTGTGATAGAGAAAACAACTCGATAACGTGAGAACAGCAATACGATCGAATCATCTGTTAGAAGGCTTGTGACAGCTTCCAATAGGTCTTAGTGACCTCGAATCTTCCAAATTCCATCGCCTGAAGGGCAGAACCGGATCGTAGCTGGCTTTTCGAGAATGGCGACGTACATATCGTTTGCTCAAATCCAAAGATAATTGCCGGGACAACTGTAGTATACATCACCTGTATCGCATTGAGAAGGCCAATCAAGGCTTGATGTGGCGCTTTTGCGGGGTTTGCTGGGCCTCTGCCTCATCAACATGCGAAAGCTGTTGCCTTCGACCCTTGAAGCAGCAGGATATCGTAGTGTCGCGTCATATGTGAATCCTATATTACCGCATAGAACATTAGGTTTTTCAGTGCGCTGAGCTCTTCTCTTACCATTTTGCGGCTTCGATACGTGGAGCCTCAGCGTCATGGCGTCTAAGTCTTATGTATCGACTATGGGCTCCACTCAATATTTATACGCAACAGCATCCCTGGACTATACGAGACGAGACATACGACTAGTAGAGCTTCAGCGCAATGAAGAATTGGACAACATTGAATGTGTGTTACGGTCATATCCTGTCGATGGACCTCATCCACCTTACATCGCACTCTCATACGCATGGGGCGATGACATACGCTATACAGTTATCAAGCTCAACGGATGCTCCTTGTCCATCGGCAAGAACCTATGGCACTTTCTCAGCCAGATGCGGTCAAGCAACAAATTCTACACATACTGGATCGACGCAATTTGTATTGATCAGACGAATCTACGAGAGCGCAACCATCAAGTCCAGATGATGCGGCAGATCTATAGCAACGCTGAGTCTGTATACGCCTGGCTTGGAGATGAAGATGAGATGACCTACAGCAATACAGCCATGATGTATCTGGCGGAACGAAATGTCTTCGAAGCTGCTACAATGATGACCAAAAGGTTCTGGACCCCTCGGCAAGCCGAAGCCATGGTTTCACTGTGCGAGCGGCCGTACTGGACCCGGGTTTGGATTGTACAAGAGCTATTACTTGCCAAGGAAGTAAAGATACTTTGCGGGTCGAAAGCAATATCGTGGTACCAATTCCGAAAGTTTTTCGATGACATCGCTATCCTAATCCACGGTGGCTGGGGTCAGCATGTAGGTGTATATCCTACGTTCCACTCGGCCGCCAGCAATATCGTCATGCTGAAGACCAGTTGGAGCAAACAACCATCGCAGCCCCTTCTTACCTTAGTAGGGCTCTGTCGAGACCAAAAATCGAGTGACATCCGAGATAAAGTATATGCGCTGGCTGGACTTGCGGACGATCCAGACGAATTAGAGGTTGATTACGGCATAACTGTCAAGCAACTTTTGGTTGTTGTCTTGAAGCACGCATGTACTGCCATGAAATCAAGTGTGAACATCAGAAAGTCGAGGTCACGGCTTCTGCGAACTGGTCAGATGCTACGTGAAGCCTTGCGAGTTCATTGTGATGATCAGCAGCTGGAGGGTATTATCATTTCTGAAGAAGAGCATTTACAGTTCAACGAAGAATGCGTGGGTATAGTGGCCTCTAAACTGGCACGTGATACGTTTCTTGAAAAGATGGAAAATAGTGACCGGGTGGCTGAAATTAGCAACCTGAACATGAAGGAAGAACGAACATCACTCAACGCCGAATTCGAGTTCGAACGCTATATGGAACGAGTCTACCGCACCAAAATGACAGAAACCAGGCTTGAGTACTCTATCGTGCCTCATTGGATGTATTGTTGCTTTAAGGATCTCCATAAAACGGCCGAGAACAACAGCGCTCAGCAAATGACAAGCCAACAAGGAAACAGTTCCGCAATTCGAGATCCTCCAAGACTGATCGAATGTGTACTCTGCCATCACTCGAGCACAGAGAATGAAGTTGGACATCAGAGAGCATCGAAACATGGTATATGGAGATGTAAAGCCGAATGGTACCACAGATCCAAGGATCACAACTTAGGGGCTTGGCTTGGATGGAGATTCTACTTGAAACACATTGAACGGCATCATTCCGAGTTGGAAACGTATCAATATCTTTGCAGGCAGGGTGTTATCGATGACCCTGAGCTCCAAAGACTTCAATGCCATGATAAACCCTGGAGGCTACCACTGGGATACGACACTGCAACCAAATATCTCCGAGATTCTGAGGGCGTAGCAACGGATTTTCTGTGGCCGAGCTCGTGATAGAAGACGACCATTGAGTGGTATGGCATTTTGCTGCGAACATATGCATAGATCTGCCCAGATAGTTTGACATTGACTACGATCATTCGACGGGCATCCTGAGGTCATGACTAGGGACTCGCTTTCTGGGGCACGGTGCCATCAGCCCATCTTTCGCAAAGAACTTCATGAAACTTACTTGGTTCAGTGTGTGAAAAGAGAATCAAAGCGTGTATAGGTATACAGTATATCTAAGCTGAGACAGCTGGGTCAGAAGCTTCTTTCTAGCAGTCTACTCGTCTACTCATTTACCCATCTACCCGTCTACCCTGATGTTCATACCGAACTCGTTCAGTGTCTTCACGTATTGATCTCCCAGTGTCGCAGGTGTCAGGATGCCACCTCCGAGCCTTCCCGCCTCGCTCTCCTCCAGCCTGCCCCGGAGAATAACTTTAGCAGCAGCACTGAGTGTCATTGCTGTCGCAACATAACCACCATGCGCAACTTCAAGGTTTGCAATCACCTTCTTCCCATCTTCGGTACTGCCAACTCCACGGTAGTGCATGAAGTCATTCTTCATGCTCTCCTTTGACGGCCCCTGACCAGGGCTTGGGATGACCATCTTGAGAAGAGGTTCAAGCAACCAGCGCGTTACTGGAATAGCAAGCAGAACGGCGACTGAGGTAAGAACCATTTTTTGCGCAAAACCGAAAAACAGATTGGGCGCACGCGCGTACTCGTTGAAGCGGAACTTGGGGCCGTACTGTAGTGTCTTGTCACCGGAGGACTGGTACAGACCCCATGAGCGATGCGCAATGCACACATCGACACTCGCCATGAGTCCAGTCGTCTGAATACCTCCGAGTTCGGGAATGGTTTGCAGGCCGAAAAGATTGTACGGAAAGCTTCCCGATGGTGATGCGACAACGTTGTCTGCATTGACGGGCGACAGAGAGTATGGGTGCATTGACTTTCCGAGATGGCTGAGAGAGTACTTCTTGAAGAGCTCCAGCATGGTGAGGGATGTTCCGCCACTGATACCGGACTTGAAGTCATACAGTGTCATGATGGCGCGCTCGCAGGGGGCGTTGTGGCGCTTGCGCACCTCGCGCGCGAGCACATAGGCCATGATGTCCGCAGGGACGGAGTCGAGACCACACTCGGGTATAATGATAGTTTTGTTCTTCTTCGCAAGCTCATCGTACTTGGCGACCATGTCGTAGATCCATGGCACTTCACCAGTAGAGTCCAGATAGTGCGTGCCATTGTTGACACAGGCGGCAAGGACAGGCTCACCGTAGTGCATGAAGGGGCCTACTGTCGTGATGATGAGTGTCGTCTTCTTGACAAGAGCCTCCAATTGCTGACGCTCAAGCTCGCATGTCTCGATGGCTGGTGTTCGTTAGCTCCATCCCGAGCCTCGTCTGTCACATGTTTGGAACGCAGATTCTAGCGCACATACCTGGCTGCTTGCGGTTTGGCCTCAGCCTCGTCAGCTCGTCGACTACGCTCTGCAACTTCTTCGCATTACGTCCTGCGACAGCCCACTTCAGATCGTCCGGCAGGTGGGTGGTGACCCATTCCGCAACAAGTTTTCCAGTGTAACCCGTCGCCCCCAGCAAGATTAGCTCGTATTCCCGGGATTGCTGAGCCATGATGCTATACGTGTATGATTGACAGAGAAAAGAAGACAAGACGAGAGAATATCGATCAGGAGATGGTGTGGCTGTAGCTAGGGGGAATTCCTAATCATCAAATACTACGCGACTCGGACAAGACCCTTCTTTTGGTATGCCTGAGGTCATCCCGCGGCTGGCAGTCGCCGGCGGGCGCGACAGATACCGCATTGTCACATGTAAGTCACAACACAACTGGAGCAGAGAAAAACAGAGTTTCGCAAGTGCTGTGTTGCAAGACACAGGAAGATTTAAGACCTTTATATTGACTGCTGACAGTCGTTACTACAAAAAGAGTAAGCCCTTGCATAGATCACAGTGTGATCGCGCACTATTCTCAAAGCGACCCAAGCGCCTTGGCAGCAGACACTGGATTCCAAGATTTGAGAAATGCCCCTCCAAAGCCGACAACTGATCCTTCTCACCGCTATCGCCTTTTGGCCTCCACACAAGTTGTTCCATTCTGATCGCGCGATTGGGCCGTATTTCTGAATTTGCCAATCGGCCGCCAACAACGCATCCACGAAGGCTGGGAAGCCTGGTGGAAGGGCGCGACCGTGGGGATGAAGCGGTCTGCTTTTCGGCGATATGTACATACCTCGCAGTATCGCTAATGTGAAAATCGGATAGGGAACTCGAGAAACTGAGCCCAAGAGATACGTAGCTGCCTACAAGAAGCCGCCGCAACCGCACTGCGAACTCGATCGCCCGCGTCGCGCGGTATCCTCGCCCAGGGCTTACAGAGTTGCGCGAGACGCTACACATAGAAATGCAAGGTCCACTACATGGCCATACTCTGTCTGCCCACAAGACGGAAGTCTCGAGTAGTCTTCGCACGCGGTGGAGAACATACAACGACTGTCCTTGGCAGCGCCAGATTCCGTGCTGCGACGCGTTCGTCAAATGTTTTTCCTCTTTCTGTTGAGTACTAATGGGTGACGTTCTTGGAAGAAAAGAATGTCTACAGCGAGAAGAACACGCAGTACACTGTAGGCAAAGCGTTCGGGCTAAGAGCACCACATGCGGCAGCTGTCGTTATCTTATCGGTGTATCCCATAGTAACACTTCCCAACGAGGAAAAGCCTGTTCACATCTCCAGCCTATCCGGTCTGATATGTCCGACCTTCCCACCTCATCTACTCTCATACATGCAGGTCGGAGAACGATACAGGCGCATTCAGGCCAAGGGTGCAGTCATAAACATGCCACAAGCGCATCTGACGCGATCGAGAAGCGAAGAGATAGCAGAGCGATTAAGTTGGAATGTATTCGCATTCTGAGTAGCAGCTTGGTGGCCTCACCAGTCATTCGGACGACTACTTAAGGAACCTTGACACGTGGTGAGGTAAGCCCGAAAAGTGACTGATCATTTACGAAGTGCTAGCAGCAGATCCACGAACTCGATACATACTTCACACTACCAAAAGTAACTAGTCTCCACTTGGGCATCCTTTTTCTGGAAAACATCACGGGTTTCCGGGGTTGGCTGCGACTGCCTAGGAGTGTGTGGCTGCTGCAGGGTGACCGCGAGGCCAAGCCACTAGCGTCCGCTACTTAAACCACAGTCCCCGCTCTCTCGACTTGATCATCTTCCCAACTTATGAATCGCGTCGACCAGTACTTCCGCTCTTTCACTTTCAAACATCACATCAATGGCCGAGACGTGCATAGTCTGTCTCGGCGATCTCGTCCCCCACGACGACGGCCCTACCGCCACCGCATCATCGCTTGCGACCAAACCGCTTGAGGATGGCGCTGATGGCGACTCCCAACCCCATGCCAAGAACAAGATGGTGGCTGTAGAGTCAACCAAAGAAGACGAACTAGTCGCACACCTACTGCCATGCGGCCACGATCTGCACAACGAGTGCCTTAAGCCTTGGGTTGAACGAGCGAATAGCTGCCCGATATGTCGAGCCAGTTTCAACATGGTCGAGCTCAGCGTACGCGTTGGAGGTATGTCAGTCCTGGATGTTACGGAGTCTGCGGTTGCGACGTTGCTATTGCTGCCTGGTAGTAGCCTGGCTGCTGGCTAAATGGTCAGTCGAGCTCAGCATGAACTCTATCCAATCCCATAATGTCGTGCTGCATCAAGCGGCGCTGTTGAGATGGAATCCGAACTGACACCTTACCAGGACCTAAGCTATCCGAGTACACTGTGCAAGACAAGAAACAGGTCGCCGATATCGATCCTTCTATGATTGTCGAGGACGATTACACACTGGAGGATGACGGAAGCTATGACGCATGTATGGTCTGCGACGAGTTCGGTGACGCATCACAGCTCATGTACTGCCATAGCTGCGAGCAGCTTTGCCACGTCTTCTGCGCTGGTCTTGATCGGATGCCATCTCGTGGGCCTTGGTATTGCCAGGGCTGTGTTGAGAATCCTAGCCTGCTGGAAGCTGCGTCCCGACGACGACCAGCGGTCCGGGGTCCCGCTGCCTGGATCAACGGTCGAAGCCGTGTACCACGTCACAACCATGCCCCTGATGAATGGGTAGGGGTCTGGCAGAGCGTCTGGGACCGACTGCAGTTCGACATTGAGTTTCCCTTTGACGAGGAAGAGCAGTCGGAGAACCAATCTGATGTCACACGCCGCGATGACATCAGATGGGAGCAGCGCATGCGCGTAGCACGGCGAGCAGGAGCTGGTAATCGTTTTCAGGCCGCTGCTGACAACATCGTAACTGGTCGTCGGCGCAACTCCAACGCCATTGCGCGACCTACAAACCGAACGCTTCATCGTGAACCACCAAAGACACCAAAAGACCCCGAGTCACAAGAAGAGCTTCGTGCATGGAATCAATTTGAGAAGGCGCGTGAGCAACTCGCCCAGGGTGACGCGCGCCCTACCCCTAGCGTGGCGAGCACTAGTAGCCGACGGGGACGCAAGCGCAAGTCTGTCGACTCTTCGCCTGCTGACTCTGAGCCTCGCGAGCAGAAGCCTGAACGCAAGCTCAAGCGCCCTCGAACTCGTATGCACTTAGACAATGGAGAGTCATCATCGGCTGCTGCACGTCGCAACACGGCGACTAACACGCATGCCCCTGCAGCTGCGTCGTCACCACCCGCGGCTCCAGCTGGTGAAAGTTCCACTCCTGCGCCGGGCTTTCTTCAGTCATTACTTCAAGAGGTCGAGGTTGACCGATTTGCTGAGCGCGACAAGGAGATCGCCGCCCCACAGCCGCGGCGCATCATTGTGGAGCGCGCTTGTTCTCCCCAGCATTCATCGCCGGGTCTGTCGCCTGTCTACCAGAAACCCCCGGGGATGACAACGCCGCCGCCTCTCAACCTTACCCGTACCGCATCGCCTGTACAGAAAGACCAACAACTATCGCCAACATACTCGCCATATTCCCCTGCAGACGACGATCGGCCTGGCCGCCGCAGGCTCGCACATCGCTCTGTCGGCCTTAGTAGTCCCCCTCGCTCAAAGGACTCGTCGCCTAGCCGCCCCGCACTTTCCTATTCTACCAAGGCTGAGCTGCAACGCATGGTCACAGCCGTTCTGAAGCCTATATATCTGAAGAAAGAAGTCACGAAAGAAGAGTATACAGACGTCAATCGCGATGTGTCACGTCTATTGTACGAAAAGGTTGGTGAAGCTGGTGCCGATGCACTGGCAGACCAAGATACGAGAGAGAAGTGGCAGAAAATGGCGACCAACGAGGTTGATGTTGCTGTAAAGGCCCTTCGTGCTGGTGGAGCGGCGCTTTCGCCTGCTGCTGACGACTCTGCATCTTCATCTTCGTAATGAAGTTCTATTGCGTTGGTACATTTGGGCGTTAGGAATTTTACTAGGCATGGATGCATGCTTCAACAAGGTGTTACAGGGAGGAAAGGACATATGATACCATGGGCTTCTTTTTTTGTTTCTAGTATCGATGGCGTTCTGGATAGCGCTTCGAATCATAGTAGTTCGTCTGCAACGTGTAATGAAGGGATTTCGGCCGAGCTTCGGCATTCACAATCAGTGTGCTACTCTCACAGTAACAACTACAAACATGTTATACCTGCACACAACTGACGACAACGTTTAAGTGGAACTTCGTCTATCGATGGGAAGCCGACGACTGCATTACCCAATGCTATCTAATCGTAGGTTGACAGTGAAATCGAAGAAGGCACAAGCTGATCGAAACTCCAGCTGGACCCTGCACGTCTGACAAGCACCATGTTCTAGTGCCCTCGTGTCATCATGAGTAATCTAATAATTCGGCCTACGGTACTCGCCGTCGCGATACTCTAGATGAGGAAAGTCCTGTTGATTCTGTGGAGGGTAGCTTTGCTGTTGATATCCTTGTTGGGGCGGTGGGTACTGCTCAGACCGATAGGTTGGAGGGCCTTGGCTGTTATAGCCCTGTGGAGGGGTTGCATGATGCTCAGGTCGATAGTCCTGAGATTGCTGATACTGTTGAGGGGCATAGCCTTGATGAGACGGTGCGTGATGTTCGGATCGATAGTCTTGAGGTGGTGGGTATTGTGGCACCCGGTGATCTTGGTATTCTTGTCTTGGCTCCTCTCGGTATTGATTGTAGTTCTGGTACTGCGGTGGGTTGTCGTATCCTTGCGGCGCGTGCCCTTGTTCACCATAGCCACCTTGGGGAGGGCCAGGACGATGGTCGCCTTGGGGTGCCTGTGGTGGAGGCTGGTATCCTCCTCCCATCTGCGTGTTCGCAGTCGGTGATCCGACACTCACATTTTCGTTTCCGATATCGTCCGGAACATTGATCTTGACGTCAGGTAGATACCTCTGGACCTTCTGTTCCACCATACCCTGCACAAAGACCCAGCTTTGGCGCTCAAACTTGCGGTGTCCACCATTGACTACACCTAAGATGCTCTCTCGCAATGTCTCCTGAACCTTCTGAACTAAAGCACGAATCTTGTTGAGCAACTTGGACTTGATGTCATCGCCAAAGCCGCGGTCAGCATTGCCTGACGCGTCGCGGTCTAGCTGTGAATCGAACGGATTACCGCCAAGTATCTTCTCTAGTGGCCGTTGGAATTGATCAGGTAGCAGTTCAAACAGTTGCTTCTCGATTTGTCCGAGGATCTTGCGAAATTCCAGGCGGACCTCTCGGTGAACCTTTGCGAGACCGGTGCTGAGCTTGTCGCTGATGACTCGAGAGAAGCCGCTTCCACTGCCACTCTCGCCATCCCGGCTAGAGCCATCAAAGCCTCTGGAAGATTCTTCCTGGCTGCTCTTTTTGCTTCCGAATAAGCTTCCAAGGCCCTTTACTAGGTCGCCTACTTGTTCAGCAATCTCAGCCTTGGCACCGTCACCAAGATCGCGTGTGCTTGTGTTTCCACGAAGCCAGCGCTTTATGTGATCCAGAGCTATCCGGGTGAATTGTTCAGCGAGAGGTGCATGCTGCTCGCGTAGCTTGTCGCCTACTGTTTGCTTGATCTCTGGACTGATCAGCCTCGCCTTCTCTTCGGGATTTTGTGATGCATCTTTGATCGTGCTACTGATCATCCCGAGTAGTCCCCCAATCTCAAAGGACTGGCCACCTTTTGATCCTCTCTCGTCATCGAAATGATCTTGAACAACATTAAGTGCTGAAGAAAGGAACCCTCTAGCTCCAGATGCAAAATCCCCATCTACAGATCGAGACTGCTCTGCACCGCCTCTATTTCCCGAAGTAAGATCAAAAATGTCGCGCAAATCTCCATTCGCTTCATCAGAGATCTGTCCGAAACTTCGGGTCAATTTGGAAATCTCATCCGCAAAGGGCAGTGACTGGCCACCATAAGAATCAGGTGCTGCGTCATTGAGATTCCAGGGACCAGAGCGGCTGCCATCTGATGAAGACGGCCTGTCTTTGTTGAACAGTGATCTGAACGCGTCTATGACTTGCGTCTCGAGACTGTCGATAGTCTTTTGTTGGAAGGTCTCAAGTTCGGAGGCGATGCGGGGCTGGATCTGGGGTGCCAGCGAATCGACATAGTCGTCGACTTTCTGCATCAGCACGTCAGGGAGACCGCGCGAAGACATGTTCGATAGAGGAAAAAAGGTTTCAGGCTAACGGATAATCCGGATAGGGAGTGATGAGCTTTTGTTCGATATCAAGGTAGAAAACTTGGTTAATGGTGGGAAGTAAGGTCGAAACGTGGCTGGTGATAAGTGGCGCTCGGCCAAGGCAGGCTAATGACGAATACCAAGAGCTCCACTAGTTGTTCTACCATAGCAAACACCATATACCCGTCCACAAAAAACCTTCCCTAGCATACACATATGACCGCCCAGCCAAGCTAAAGGCTCAGATGAATCGGAAAGTAATGTCATTAATTCGCCAGTGTTCCGAGAGATCCGTTCCGAACCCACATGTGGCGCGGCACTACATGGCGCTTGTCTTACCTCTGAACGCTCAGCCAATATGAATCCGGTATCGCACAAGGAATCGCTATAAAGATGAATACAAAGCCCAGCTCTGTAGAACGCCATCGTCTTCTCCTACCGCCACCATGAGCCAAATAAAAATCGCCGACTCTCCGATTACTGGAAAAGCAGATGACGGTGCCGTACGTTCAAGGCGCTACAAGTCCCAATCTCTACACCCTTCGACTCCTGGTATCGCACTTCTTGCATTCGTAGGCAACCTAGCTTGTTGGATCATTACAGGCGCCATCGGCTACGCCTCACCCCCTTGTCTAGCTATCGATGACTGGACGTGTATGGCCATGGTTCTTTTTGTGCCTCAAGGACTTGCAACTGTATACCTCATCTCTATCGCTTTGGAGAAGGGTTGGATGTCTGCAACACCAAGCCTGAACGCAGGCATCGTCGGCTTTAGCATTGCTATCGTGTACACTATGTATTGGGCTACCTGGGGGAATTTTGCGACACGTGTATTCTGGATTGAGGCAGGTGTCTACCTCTCCCTTGCCCTCGAGGCTAAGCTCGGGGTCTTCGAAGCTGCAGAGCAAAGAATAGGTACATTGCTGGACTTGTAAAAATGGGCTCCGCTTTCATAAGGCTGTCGGCCTCAAGAATATCCATTAAGAAGCTTGCAATACTGCATGTTCCATAAGTCGTATACTTCGTCATGTATCTAAACAAAGCCGGGCATCATCCCTTCAGCTCCGGGGTGGTAATATTTAACCTTAGACAATAGCATCGGGTCTAACAACCCTCTTCTTCGCAGTTCCTACTCCAGCATGTCCCCTCTCCTGATCTTTGCCCAACCACGGCTTCAACGCCTCACCCACCAGACTCTGTCTCAGGAAGTAGATGACCTGACCGATGATGATGAGAACAAAAGCGATAGGGTACATCCAGTGAATGTTCAGTCCAAACACCTTGACACCGATCGCTACACCCCAGAAGCTTCCGGTAAGCAGGGAAATGTTGAAGAAAGCAGCGGAGCTGAGACGGAAGAGAACCGGTGCAAGTGAGTAGAACAGCGAAAGGATGAGTGTGTACCCTGTGAGATAACCACCAACCTTTGCATTCCAAACTGCACTGCGGAAAGCAGCGCGATCGAAGATACCAGCTTGCGTACCGTTGATGAACATGCCCCAGAAGGCCAGTTGACCAACGACTTCATATAGTGGTCTCTCAGAGACTAGCCACTCTTCAAAAACGTTGGACAGACCGTAAAAAGTAGCGCCGAGCAGCGCAAACAAATCGCCCTTTACTTGATCTGTAGCGCCGAAGTTATTGGTACCCGTGATGTGGTCGGAACCGAAGATCACACCTAAACCGCCGATGCACAGAAGGATGCCGAAGATTTGCGTGTAATGGTAGCGAACCTTGAGGAAGAAGAAGGAGATAATTACGACAACGGCGATCGCCCAGAAGTTGATCAGTTGGGCGCTAAGGATGGTTGTCTAGTTGTTTGTTAGTACAGCCCCGAGCAACTTGAAAATGATATGATCGAAGAACTTACGTAGCGGTATGCTAACACAATAAAATAGTTGCCCTCCACATCCATAAAAGCGAGGATGAAGAATCTCCAGCCATCTTTTATGACAAGACGACCCCATTTTTTGAAACCGTACTTGTAAAGGGTGTACGATGTGTAGATTATATTAAGCAGGACGTAGTTGAAGAAGGATTGGAATGCCGGGATTGATGTACCCTCTTCGGCGAGGAGAGACGACAAAGTGTTGGTACCGGTGATGCAGAGAGCGAGGACTATGACGTTTCGTCAGTTTAAATGTCGTCCATTTGATAGATTTGGATTCATCACATACCCTGCCCCAGCACCAAAGTGATCCAGAATTGCTTCGTCTTGAGGTACTGGAACCAACGTCCCTTAGTCTGTGCATCACGCTCCAGGACTTCGTCCCCAGGCGCATCATTATGCAACTCATTTTCAGATGTCACATATGTGCCAGCACCGGTTTTGTTGTTGGTTGCCTCGGGCGCATAATGTTCGTGATGCGCATCTTGGACGACGACGCCCTCTGCGGGGTAAGCTTGAATTGGGTTCATGGTCTTCGCGTTGGTGTTGATCCTGGAGGATACGGAAGGGACGCCTGAGCCGCAAGGCTTAGTGTAGCTATTAGAAGCTTATCGAAAAAAGCCGTATAATTAGATGGTGGTTTGTTGGAGCTTTTCGCATTCAACGTGAGCGCAAAACTCCAGAAGTCGCCCACGGTGGTGTACAGTCCGTACAATCGTTGCGCCGCGAAAGGTTGCAAAGCACCTTCGAGGTGGGGGTCCGCCACATTATAAACAGAGACGGCCGCACTTGTTCTATCCTGCCAGTCGCGTCTCGCGCTCCGGCCACCATGCGCAGTCGTGAAAAAAGTGTGCTTGGCCTGCCGTCCAGAGCATGGGAGCTCCGCTTGTTCTTACCTGGGTGGGGTTAAGCTTCGGAGACTAATGTGTCCTTGTGGAGATCGACGGTGCGAGAACGTGTCGATGCGCGAGGGCTAGGGCTAGGCGAGCCCCGAGAATGCTTTTTCCTGCGTTATCGTCCATGTCAAGAGGAGGAGAGGCTGAGATGAGTGATGATAAGTGGACGGCAGAAACGACCGCGTGGTCAAAGTGCATGGTTTTGCCGAGCATTAGTCGCAACGTGGGGGCGTTCAGAATTCACTAGCACAAAGTATAGGTATGGGAATGTTCCTACAGTGTCAACGCCCTCACCGCGTTAATGCATGCAGAAACTTCCCGACATGCACGATAGTGGTGGGCCCAAGCACCCAGTATAAGGGGACTAACAACGGCGAACGGTAGTGGGGCACAGGTATAGCAATGCAGGTAACAGAAGCAAGGCGGTGCAAAAGCAAGGTTTTTTTATAGGCTAACTAGAGGGGAGAGAAGGATACAAGACCATCGTCTGGACTGGCCCAAACAAGTGTTACAGACGTGAGTAGAGCTACCTACACGTCGTCCGTGACAAAGTAAACAAGACAAGCAAGACAAAAGGTAAAGACAGTCAACAGTCGGACATTTCGCGTACTTTTACCATCCACGTGTCCCTACAGTCGGGATCCTATTCAGAGTCCTCATCCTCGCTATCCTCGTTCTCCAGCCAGTCCTTGAACTGCTCGGCCGATTTGCGGACAGACTTGCTGACCTTGAGGTCGACATACTTCTTGCTTGCCTTGGAGCACCAGGCTTTGAGCTGATCCTCCGAGACAAGATCGTTCTCGTACACCTTGAGCAGGATAGCAGAGACCTGAGGAATGAGCTCAGGCTTGTCGTTGCCGACAAAGCGCTCGATACCACCAAGGAAAGCCTTCTCGTGCTTATCCGAAGTGATCATCTTCTTGAGCATAGGGGCGCGACCGTCCATCTGCTTGACAATCTTCTCAGTGAAGAGGGTCTGGGGAATGACAGTGAGAGTACGGTGCTTCTCCTCGATGCCGAGCTCCTTGGCCTTGATGTAGATGTCGACGTTGTCAAGGTTCTCAACACCACCCTTCTCGGCACCAGTGTCGATGATCCACTTGCCGAAGACGTCGTAGCTCGAGCCGCCCTCCTCGTCATCCTCAATGACAAGAGCACGCTTGAGGTCGTCGGGCAGATCCTGGGCACGAGCCCTAATGGCCGCCTCAGAGGTGTCGATGGACCACTCAACCTCCTTGGCATCCTCATCTTCGATCTCCTTGGCGCCCTCGTTGATCTGGCGGGTAAGCTCGTCATCGCTGCCGGCCTCGAGTGCCAGGTCGCCATCGTCGCCGTTGTCATCGGCGCTGTCACCGGGGCTGCCGCCATCGGGCGAGGTAGCCTCACCACGGGCTTCAGCCTCTTTGCGAGCACGACGCTCGGCCTTTTTGCTGGACTTGTCCTTCTTGCCCTTCTTGGGTTCATTCTTCAGGATGAAGGAGCTAAGCTTCAAGCGGGGGTCAACGTCGGAGATCTTTCCGCAAGCCTTGCAGTCAAGCGTGATGTTGCCGTCCTTGATATGGACATCGGTCTCGGGGTTCTTGCACTTCTTGCAGAGGACGAACTTTGAGATGAAGCCATCAAGGTAGTCCTGGAGCTTGCTGGCGTCATGGGCACCGTTGATGATCCAACGGTCATCGTTGGGGCTCGTGTTGGTCTGAGCTCCGAGTTCGAAACCAAAGTACTTGATGACGTGAGCAGGGGGGCGGGCGAGAGACTGAGCCACGCTGCTCAGGTTGACAATGACGGTCTTGATGCCGTTGCCCTTGCCTTCGATCTTGGACTGGATGCGCTCCATCTTGTAGCGGTAGAAGGGGTCGGTGACATCGCGGCGAATGTTGACGGTAGCCATGGTGACGGTGGTGCGGGGGGTCTGGTTGACGAGGTTGATTTAGTGATTATGCGGCGGGCGGGCGAACGAGGTCGGATCAGGTATGTTGACGAGGGCCGAAAGAGACATGCGCAGGAGCAGTCTCTAGTATGTGTGGGTTGTGTGTGTGCGACTCAAGGTCAAGAGGGGCAGTGGATTAGCCGTTGGTTTGGTGGATGATACTGCTTGGTATCCGCATACAGCGAAATTTTTGCAGTTTGGGGGGAGGTTCGACTCGGAAGGAGTAGCTTTGGCGCGAATACATATACTCCTGTTGTCGTTGGCGACTCTGAGGTGCGGTTTGTGCTTGTGGCCTGATGGCGAGAGTGGCGGTTTAGGCAGGTCGCGGGTTGGCGACGAGCAGGCTGTTTGGCGTGTGGGGCAGAGTTGTGTGTGCTGTTGCCAGTGGCAGTCACTGGTGTGGACGAGGGCGACTGATGGATTTTGCGTTGTGCGAAGGTTGAGTGTGTGCGAACCGCGGGTGGTGGATGGAAGATATATGGGGTCCGACTTGCGCTTAGTTTTTCGAACTTGCCGAGCCACGCTAGTGAAGGCCGTTCTACCAAACGCCTCCAGAAGCCCCGCCCTGAGTCAGTCACTTATTTGTCTTTTGGCTGTTCACGCGATTGCACAGAGCTTCCAGCACTTGGACTGTGAGACTAGGCGGCCGAGTCCTGAGGTGGCTGGCACTGTCATTTTGGGGCATTGGCGACGGACAAAGAGTTTTCTGGTCCACACAAACAACGGAACATCAAACGGTTGTTGCAGGAAATTGCTGCATGGTCGGTTCACCACAGCGGGCAGGGATGCATCACTGTTGCACAGCATTGGTTCTGTGCCCCCGCTTGGATGCCTTTGACAGAAGGTGATCATACACGGACTTCTGGAACATGGTGGTTTTACTGTGGTAATTGTGCTTGCCATGAACACGGCGCGACAACCTTGGGAAGGAAGGCGGTACCCATGTGTGGCTGACAAACGACATGTTTACACGATCATTATGTGTCCTGTACCAACCTTGAATTGCCCCGCAGTTCACCGAACACCACTTGCCATGTTAGATCTGACAACGTGGGGCAAAATGTTGAACGCCGCCGCCGAGCAATCACCGTCAAACAAGCTGCGTTCTGTAAGCTACACGTAAGGCTGTCGCTTAACACGTCTACATTCGCTACTAATCTCCCGCGAACCGAATCGAAGTCTTTGGCGGGCCGCACCTAGATTGCGTCATCAGCCATAGCGGCTTTTCTCAAAGATTTCCAGCATTGACGGACAAGATCGAGTATTCCACACCAGTCGTGCGTCCACTTGCAATAATGGCTGAGCAAAGGGTAGACTACTCCCTGTATCTCGTGACAGACTCTACAGAAGCCATTCTGGGCTCAAGAGATCTGATTGATGTAGTTGAGCAGGCATTACTTGGAGGTTAGTCACATACTGCCCCAGTTGCATTTCCATGTTACATGACCTGCACATCCATAAACGTGCAACCATGTTGATTCAGAACTCCAGGTGTAACGATCGTCCAATATAGAGACAAAACCTCAGACACTGGCGTCCTCATCTCTACAGCAAAAAAGCTCCACGAAAAATGCAAAGCACACAATATCCCGCTTCTCATCAACGACCGTGTGGATGTTGCCCTCGCAGTAGGCTGTGAGGGTGTTCATGTGGGTCAAGATGACATGAATGTTCGCGAAGTACGCCACCTTCTAGGAAAAGACAAAATCATCGGCGCAACAGTCTCGTCTATCGAAGAAGCACGTATAGCCGTCGAGTTGGGAGCAGACTACCTAGGAATCGGCACATTGTATGCCACAAACACCAAGAAGAACACCAAAGACATCATCGGGATTACTGGGATCAGAAAGATACTGCGATATCTCGACCAGGGCAACGACGCTGAGAAGAATGTCAGGACAGTATGCATCGGCGGTGTCAACGCTTCCAACACCCAACGCATTACACACCAACTTCTAGCCCCAACAACCGCCAACACCCGTCCTAGAACGATCGATGGCGTCGCAGTAGTATCCGCGATAATAGGTGCTCAAGACCCTAGAGCTGCATCCTCACACCTCGTCCACCTCCTCAAGACGCCTCCACCATTCGCTCCTCAATCCTCACTTCCAAATTTCTACCACGAAAAGCCCGCCGATGAAATAACCGCTGTCCTCAAAACCGCCATCTCCGCGACAAAGAAAGTCAAAGAAATGAACCCTCTCTCCCACAACATGACCAACCTTGTTGTCCAAAACTTCGCCGCAAACGTCGCTCTGTCCATAGGTGCTAGCCCCATCATGAGCAACTATAGCGCTGAAGCTGCGGATTTGTCTAAATTAGGCGGCGCATTAGTCGTAAACATGGGTACCGTGACCCCCGAAGGACTAGCAAACTACCAAGCAGCAATCACTGCTTACAATGCCGCTGGTGGACCCATTGTTCTTGACCCTGTAGGCGCAGGGGCAACGAGCATACGAAGAGACGCTCTAGCCAAGCTAATGGGTGCTGGTTACTTCGACTTGATCAAGGGAAACGAGAGTGAGATCCTCGCTGTGGCGCGTGCCAGTGGGTATCAGCTTGATAACTCCAGTCAGCAGCGTGGTGTTGACTCTGGTGCTTCACTCTTCTCTGTAAAGCAAAGAGCGAGCATTGTTTCGAGCCTTGCGGCTAGGGAGCGGTGCGTTGTTCTTATGACTGGAGTTACTGATGTTGTTTCGGATGGTACAAGGACTTATGCTGTGAGCAATGGGCATGAGTATCTGGGGAGGATCACAGGGAGTGGATGCACACTGGGTACAACGTTATCTGCCTATCTGGCAGCATATCGTGAAGATAAGCTGCTTGCTGCTGTAGCAGGACTGTTGCACTACGAGATCGCGGCGGAGACTGCGTCGCAGAGGGAAGATGTTAAAGGTCCGGGGACATTTGTTCCTGCTTTCATAGACGAATTGTGGAATCATGGAGAGAAGATGGTGAAGGGGGATATGGAGCTGAAAGACGTGGCTAAGGTGGAATTCATCAAGGACATGGACGATGCTGGATTATCGGAGGATCTGTAGGCAGTGTAATAGTAGTCAAAACTTGTACGAACAGATTTGGGTATTGTTGACGATTGAAAGGATACTATTATTACGCCTTTTCTTGCTGGAGTCCCGTACCATGTCGTAACGCCAACGCTCGTTGACTTTCAACGTAACTTGATCGTACATCTCTATGCCAACAACCCATGACAAAAATCTACCTCGCTTTCCTGTATCGGCCCTGATTCATCTCTGCTTTCAAAGCATCTTGCTGATCCGGCAACGGCGCTCTTCTCCTGATACCATCTGCGCCTACACTCATTGGTCCTCCTTGTTGCTGTTGTGGCGGTGGAGGAGGGCCCGGCCATCCTGGTGGCGGAGCAGCCATACCACCAGGCGGAGGAGGGAAGCCTGGGAAGCCTGGAGGTGGCATGCCTGGGGGAAAAGGTGGCATACCGGGTGGCATGCCTTGTGGGAAGCCGGGAAAGTTTGGTGGAAAGGGTGGAGGAGGACCGTTAGCGTTTGGCGGTGGAGGACCGTGACCGTGAGGTATGGGAGGTGGCGGTAAGGAGCCCGACGCGATAAGTTGTGCAAGACGAGAGGGGTCCATACCATTGAGAGGAGGCATAGGCGGGCCCCCTCCGTTTGGCGGTGGGAATGGCATGTTACCTGGTGGAGGAGGTACTGGAGGATGATTTGCCCCGCCAATACCGGGTAGAGAACTGGATGTACCGTCTGGCGCTGCATTGAGTCCTGGTAATGAGAGACCAGGAGGCAGGAAACCACCAGCGGGGTTCTTTGACGGCATCTTCTGATCGACTAGGCCTTCGGCCTCGTCCTCGGCTTCCTGCTCTTCTTCTTCCATTTTCTGCCGCCTGCCCTGGCCACGGTCGAACGTACCTTGTGCCTCTGCCGCAGCTTGGCCAATATGATAGCGGTCGTTGATGTAGTTTGTGTCGCCTGGCCGCGGCCGTGTCCAGAAACGCGTGACCCTGTCGTTGGAACCGGATGCAAGGATGTGGCCCAGTGGATGCCAATCCATTGTCCAGACTGTGAAGTCGTGGGCGTATTGCAGGCTATGTGCGGGGTATATAGTTTGTGAGGGCGCGTTTTGTGAATCGGCAGCGTCGTAAGGCGATATTGACGGTGCGACACCAGCAGGAGGGTTTTGCTCGTCGAGGAGATAGTGGTGTATGCTACCATCGACACCACCAGTGGACAGCAGGTTCTTGTGCATCGGGTGCCAGGCCATTGTAATAATATCCTTCTCGTGTCCCTTCAGCAGCAAGACATCGCGCATCATTCGAAGATCAAAGATGCGGGCTGTGTGATCACGGGCGCATGTTGCTAGCATGTTTCCTTGGACGGGCTCGAACATGGTTTTTGATATTGGGTTTTTATGTCCATGAAGCGTCGTAAGACAGCGCCCTGTCCGCGGATCCCAGAACTTGACTTGGTGATCCTTTGACCCTGATACTAGCAGACCCTTGTGCGGATGCCAGTCAACCGACTTGACTTCCCATCCATGTCCTGTCAACGTCGACTCTTCTGTGCTCGACGCAAAATCCCAGATCTTCAGTGTGGTGTCATCGGCGCATGTCACGAACTTGGTGTCTGTGGGTGCAATGGAGAGCCCCCGTACCGCTTCCGTGTGAGCCTGTATCTCTTTGACGTTGTTGAAGTTTGTCTGCCAGTACTTGACGACACCTGTCTGATCTGCTGACAAGAGCCAGTCGTCGGTGGATGTGTATTCGACAGCTCGAATTGCAGCCTCGTGAGCCTGCATGATAGTTTCGAAGTTGAAGCCCATTCCGTTCCACAGAGTGAACTCGCCGCTGGTTGAGCCGGTGAGCAGTCGCCGACCTTCTGGGGTCCATTTGACCACGTTTATGGGGTGTTTGACTTTGTTCAGGGAAGAATGCACGGCTTTGGCTGGTATCGACTCGGCTGCGCTGGCGACGCGTGCTGCTGGAGGCTGCATGTCGACAATATAACTTGCACTTGGCCGTTCCATCTCCGCCATGGGAGCATTCTTGTATCGCGGGCGCCGATTGCGCAACCATTGCACTGTCGTTGAGCCATAGTCGGTCACCGCTCCTGTAGATTATAGAGTCAGCGTCAGATGTTGGAATCTGAACAGATATACTCACGCTTCGGTCGAGGTCGCAGCCCTCCCTCAAAGTCTGGGCGATGGTATTCACGCTCCATTGCGGCTGTTCTTGCCGTGTACTATTCTTACTCGACCAACATGGAAAGACCGATCGGATTGTGGGGTGGTGACGGCGAGGGCGTGACCGATGGCGATGCGCAAGGTTGACGTACGGTGCAGCGCGTCCTTTGTCGCGTTGAACCTCCGCGATAGCTCAGCCTAGCGTCAAAGCCACAGTGTTCGCAACATCAGCCACATTCACACGCCACGGCCTAAGATGGGTCGGCGTGCATCACCGTGCAGATCCCCGCTCACCAGACTCCCAACAGAATCCAGAAATGCGCTGACAACTCTGTCGCCATTGCTGCCAAAACCCTCGGTCATGGCGCGCTTATCCCGAGTACAAATCCATCGCTTCCGCCGAGAGCCACGGCCAAGTGAGCCTGTTTCCGTTGTCCCAATCGCCGCATACGAGCATCACTCCTACTCCTCGCTTCCACCCTGAGATCTTTAATTACTTTCGCATGAGCCATTGCGCTCTGGGGTAATCTGCACCCACTTCCCAATCCGTCTCAACGCTCGACCATGGCGACTCTTACCCAAATGGCAGCCTCTGCTCTCGACATGCAGCAGGCCAGTTCCCCCTTGTACCGCGGAAAGGCGACCAGCGAACCCAAAGCCAATGGCACGACCAACGGCACGACCAAGCGTGCTCGCGACACCAAATACCGTCATGTCTTTGCAACGCACTCGTCTTCCCGTACCTCATGTCTCAGCCAAGATGCAGATAAGGTTCCCAGCTTCGTCGGCTTCAGGAATCTTATGATCCTGGTTCTTAGTATGCACTCCTTACTACCGAGGATAGCCGCAAATGGCTAACGAGCACAGTTGTCTCCAACTTGCGATTGATGATTGTGAACCTGCAGAAGTATGGTGTCCTCATCTGCCTATCATGCCACGACTACCGTCGCTCCGACGTCATCACCGGGTTGCTCCTATACCTCCTCGTCCCTGCGCACCTCTTCGTAACCTACCTCATCGAACTTGCCGCGGCCTGGCAGGCCAACCGAGCCTACGCCCGTATATCGCACGAACGTGACGAAGACACGCCCGCCAAATACGCTGCTGCACTTCGCAGCTTCAACTCAACATGGTATATCGTAGCCTTCTTCCATAGCATCAACGCAGTCGCAAATCTCTATATTGCGACCAAGTACGTCTATTACGACATATACCACCCCGGTATTGGCACGCTCTGCGAATTTCACGCCGTCATCGTCTTCCTCAAGTGCGCTTCGTACGCGCTCACAAACCGCGATCTTCGCCATGCCTACCTGCACCCCAAGCAAGCCGATCCCCTACCGGAACTATACAAAGCATGTCCATACCCGCAAAACATCAACATGAAGAACCTATGCTACTTCTGGTGGGCACCAACCCTTGTCTACCAACCCGTCTATCCTCGAACCGATAAGATTCGCTGGGACTTCGTCCTTAAGCGCCTCGCCGAGCTCGCAGGTCTTAGCATTGTCATCTGGATCGCATCTGCCCAATACGCTGCGCCCCTGCTACAGAACTCGCTCGACAAGATCCTTACCTTGAATTTCACATCCATTGCCGAACGCGTCATGAAGCTATCCACCATCAGCGTCTTCTGCTGGCTCTGTGGCTTCTTCGCCCTCTTCCAATCCGCCCTCAACGCCCTCGCAGAAGTAATGCGTTTCGGTGACCGAGAATTTTACGGCGACTGGTGGAACGTGTCTTCCATCCGTACATACTGGACGACTTGGAATAAGCCCGTAACAAACTTCATGCGTCGCCACATCTACTCGCCCCTTGTTGGCCGCGGTGTGCCTCCCGCAGTAGCCCAGATCCTCGTCTTTCTCTTCTCGGGTATCTTACACGAACTTCTCGTCGGCGTTCCCACCCACAACGTCATTGGTGTCGCATTTGCTGGCATGATGTTCCAAATCCCGCTTATCGCACTTACCGACGTAATCCAAAAGGTCAAGTGCATCCAAGGCAAGGTTGCGGGTAACATGATCTTTTGGATGAGCTTTTGCTTAGTTGGACAGCCACTTGCTGCGTTGCTTTATTTCTTTGCTTGGCAGGCGAAATACGGAAGCGTAAGTAAGAGTGTGGGGGAGAGTGCTGTTAATATGTTCTATCGGCGATAGAGTACTATTCTTTTTGTGCTTGTCTCTGATGGGATTGTGTTTGTGGATGTTCACATGATCTTTTTCGATAAAAATAACACTTTTCTTGTCTGAATTGGCGTGTTGAATCACCAACCACAGTTTGCTGACTCAGAATCCAATATCCAGCAAGCCTGCCTTGGCTCTCCTCAGCATCCTCTTCACTTCTCTGCTCAACAACCCCTGAACCCTCTCAATCCACAAGCCGTGGATACCTCGCTCAGTGCCCACTTCTGAAAATCTACTCAGCATCTTCACTACCTCTACTTTCTCCCCACCGCCCCACTTCATCACTACCTCGCTCGCACAGAAAATCCGCATTCCTAGTGTAAAAACCTCAGCTTTTGTACTCCATCCTAGTGCACCGTCACCTTCTTTCTCCGCCGTCTGCATAAGTGTGGTCAGGCCATCTAGTATCCAGGTGGTCAAGCCAATGCGTAGACTCTCAGGAGTAGCTGAAGAAGACAAGGAGCAGAGGATACGAGACCAAAGAATCGTATCTAGAGTATCGTCCTTGTACAGATTCTGCTTCTCTTGCGCAAAGAGCGAGGTATCTTCTTCCCTCTCCTGAGCAAAGGTTTCGGCAAAGGGTATATAGAAGGGGAGTGTGGGCGAGTGTGTATTTGTCAGACGTCGTATCGCTTCTGTAGCTAAGTACTGCGATGTCGAGAACGCAGTGATCAGGTAAGCTGCAAGCCGGTGCGTCGTCGATATCGGCACCGTATCCTTGAAGGTGTCTTTACCTTGTAAACGCAAGAATGAACCCGTTGTAGAGGCAGCCAGGTCGCGAATTTCGTCATCATCATCGTTGAGGAGATCGTAGAGGACTATAGCCAGACCTAGGACCAGTGACCCTGTTGCTTTTCCACTCGGAGCCAAGGTGAAGACCGATCCTAATGTGGAAAGGGACTGTATAGCAGCGAAACGCGTATCGAAGGGGTTTGTGTCGACAATTGTCATGCGTAGAAGGCGAATGTACCGCGCAATAGCTGCTAGGATCTCGGCACTGCGAAGTGGGTACGTGTGATATGAGTGATCGAGGAAGGAACCTAGCAGATGTACAGCGCTTTGCATGTTCGATGGTGGGCCTTGGATGCACTGTAATTGCAGCTTGTTTAGAGTGATCATGGTCTGGTCTTCGTTGACTAGGCTAAAGAATTCACTCTTCAGGTTGTTGTTCGCAAGAGCATCGGCTAGCACGGCTTGCGACTTTGAGATCACTTCTGGATCCGTGGCTTCCAAGACCACACGGTGGATATGTGCTAAGACTAGAGAGAGCGGAACGGTCAGATCGTGAGACGCTTTCATCTGCAGTATAGTGTCTAGTGTTTCCAGTGCCTCCAGGCAGGTATCCGGATCTTCGTTTGCGAGGAGCATAAGTGCATCGCCGATGGTCTGATAATCATCTGAAACCATGATCTGAAGGGAATCGTTGCGCAGTATTACACGATCAATCATGTATACTTGTGCAAGAGAAGTCCGAAGCAAAGCATCGCCGTGGCGGTCGCTGGGCCCAATTTCGTACTCGGGTCCGATCGTTATAGATGTAGTGAGGTCTTTCCATGCATCGATTATTGAGATAGTGTTTGCCCTCTGGAGCATAGCCTTGCCGCAGATGCTCACAACATCAAGAAAGGCGGCTCGTACGAAAGGACAATCACTCGTCATGTACCAACTCGTTGCATGTTGTCCAAGCTGCTCCATCAAGGCTGCAAAGTGCTGTAGGACTACAGGTAGTCAGCAACTGGCCATTCAACTTACTGCTACTTGAGGCACTTACTACATTGGGTTTCATCTCGCAACAATTTCCTCAGCAGATACATCACCACTAGAAGTCTTCCGTGTTGCCCATTATGGTCGCTGGGGACGGTATCTAATATGGGAGAGAGCTTCTCGTGATGTTCGTTTGTAGTATGTAGTGATACATACGTTCTGGCTGCCATGTCCCGCATATGCCAATGCGGGCTTGGGAGTAACTCTCTCACCAAGCTCCGAATCTTAGTGAGATCTCCCGGTGGTCGGGCTTGGCGCAAGATCTGGAGGGCAGGAAATACGCCCTCGGCACCATGGAGGTCCATCGGTGAGCTACCGGCCTCAGGCGTCTCCATAATCCTGACATCGCTACTTGGCTCAAGCAGCTCTATCAAGATTTTCACGAGGCTGGGGTAGTTGTCATAGGAGAAGCGCGAAGTCTTGGCTCGTTCCCGCTCTTTCCAGTCCTGTGCTTCGTCGCTGCCGAGTAATCGTTCAATCAGAGCTTTGAACAGCATCAAACTACAGTTGCGGAGCGGCCATCTAAAAAGGAGTCAGTCCAGAACTAGTCAGTCATGTATTTATGGTCTTTACATAGACGAATTCAAGGTTTTAGCAGCAAGCTCGAGACCTTGTCCGATATATGCCTCAGATGCAACACTTAGCTTGGAGGTTGTGAATATTTCCTTGATGCAATTAAGGGCATGCACTTGAGGAAGACGGCTTTCCTCGATATTGGTACTCTGCGCTTCCACCAAAGTCTCGGCTACAAGATCCTTTATGGCTCGTGGGAAGAGCTTGCCTCCTGCTTGGGGTTCTGCTGCTAGTAATGCGGACATGGCTGCTGGTATGCCCGCGGATCTCCTAGTAATGGCATCTGACTTTGCTTGGATAGATCGGAGGGTTTCCTACAGAGCGTCAGCTCCAACACGCACGCTGAAGTAATTGTGCACGAACCTGGTACCACATTTCAGGCAGCGCACGTATCGAAGGTATATTCGAAGTGACACAACGGCGGCAGAACACAGCAAATGTTTGCGACACTGTCGAAAATGCACCGCGGTGACGAAGTTCAAGGAGCTGTGTAAAGCAGAGTCTGCCCAGCTTTTCAAAAAGCTCCGGGGTGACAAGGTCACCGTCCCCATCGCCTACAGGAGCTTTAAGGATAACAGTTCGTAGCAAAACACTGTAGCAATTAGCGAAATCGAGAGTATAGTAGGGTTTTGGTCACCTGGCCTCCTTCAGTCCCCTCCAGGAGTAGCTTAGAATCTCTTTGGTGTCTAGACTGCTCTCATCTTCCAACTCATCGGGGACATGGCCTTCCGGTGCATCTGCACACAGGACGTGGTAGACGCAAGACCAGAGACTCTCGATACTTGCTACAATTTCGCCGTGAGACCTCTTCCAGATGGTAAATACCTCCGGTGGTAAGCTGGATATGGTAGAGTAGAAGTCGGGCTGGTCAACTACATAGCGTAGCGCAGCAAAAGTGCCATGTACAGGTCGGCCGTCAACGGCCTTTGAAAGATCTGCGTGGGCCAGGTTCAAGGTATCCTGTAGCTGTGTTTTTAAATGTTCGAACAAACTCTGTTTCGAAGAAAAGTGTGAGCCAGCGAAAATGTTTGACTCATCGCTGGCCAAAGCAAAGACCATTCCATAAGCACGAGCAACGCCATCTGCTTGATCTGCTCGGCCTGTTCGAAGCATTGTAGCTTCCGCCCTTGCAAGAAAGCGAGGAATCATCGACAGGGTACGTTCTTGATCAGTCCGAGGGAGAGCAACTAGACATAGCTGCAAGACTGACACAGCTGCGTCACGGACATCGTCGAAAGGATCTAAAATCAGGTCAAGCAGCGACCGGCAAAGTTTCGTGTTCCCGATCCGAAGTTCATGAGTCCAGTTGAGCTGCCCTTGTGCAGATTTGGAAAGACTGGTGAACGGGACGCCCGGGTCTATTCCAGAGCGCAGTACGATGGTGATAGAACGTAATGCAGTAATGCGGCTCTGATAAGACGCAGTCGGGCGTAGCTCCCACTCGAGAAACTGGATATACCAGGCGATGAAAGCCAGAGACTCAGAGAGCGGGTCCTGTTCCCCATGTTGGGCTATCGAACCATGGGAACCAGAGCTCGTCTTTGGAAAAGGGAGGCGAGTTTGGCTAGATGCACCACCCTTAAATCTTGACTTTGCAAGAGTCGCCGTACTAGCTCTGAGACGATCGAAGAGCTTCTGTGTATAGCCGTGAACTTCTCGGCGAAAGTTCGCATCCGTATCTGTATGCAGATGGAAGAGGTTGCGCCTGAGAGCCTGTAGGATGCCACCACTAATAGCTCTCGTAACAGAAGTAGAGTATACGCAAAGAAACATGCCTGCGAGTCTGACTTCAGGATGCGGATCCGCCATCCAGGCACCAGGGACGTTATCGGGCAGATATAGCGCTCCATCGCGGATCTCGATATCACTTTGAACTCTATAATCTGGTATGAAGATCAGTGACTAATCTTGCGCCACGTTGGTGAGAACTTACCATTGTCCTTCACTATGTTGAGTTCTTTTCCTGTGGCGATTGCTGCCAACAATATCCTGAACTCTTCCATCTCTCCGAGGGACGACGTGTGACCGCCAGCTTGATACAATTGACTGGGCAACGCATTTTCGTGTGGAACATGTGACTCAAAATGGAGATATGCGAGAAATTTCAAGTACTCCGAAAGATTAGGTAGAAAGCAATGAGGGAAGACGTGAGTTCTGAACTCCTGAATGCGATCGGGCCAATCTTGTAACGTCTGTACTACCGGCTCTATCCAGAATGGTGATATGGAGCCGTCATTGCCTCTTTCGTCGTAATCTGCAAGACGTCGGGCCTGAAGTAGGTAGTTCTTGATCAAATGGCCCGCCGAAAGAGCGGTGTCGTGGTGAACAACCCATGCAAGGAAAGATTTGAACACCGTCCTCGAAGTCACGGCATCCTGGACTGTATCCGACGTCCGCTTTAGCTGCACATCAAACAATCCAATCAATTCCGTGATGGAAATGACATCCCGAAGCAGGAAATGGGCAAGGCCTTGCAAAGCTGGTTTGACTTTGATGCGATCTTCCCGCTCACATATGATGTCCAGGAAAGAAGAGGTAGCTCTTCTCCGAAGTTCATTCGCACGCAGGCTCTGATCTTTGGTAACGACACTTGTGAGGACCAAAAGCATCTGCCTCATCGATTTGCCCTTTGCATCTCCAGAGCGCTGGAGGTAGATGTTGAAGGTTCTCATCCATACCGAGTCATCCAGGATCGCCTCTCGTGCATACGCACTGTCGGAAGCCGCACAATACTCAATAATTCCACACAAAGCATTCGATGCGGCTGCGCGATGGCTGTTCTCTAGATCTGTTAGATCTGCAGTCTCTAAAACAGGAGCGAGAATAGTATGGAGTTCTCTAGTCAGATGTTAGTGGGGTTCAGTATCGGCAAAGCAACGCTCACGGACTTTGTGTCCTTACTTCAGAGCAGTTGCCGGCTCTTTCTCTGCGAAGTTGGGCAATCTCTTCGCCACATTTTTGGCTAATTCCCGCAATGCCTTGTCAGAGACAGGGACATCAGAAGTGGGCGCGTTTTCTTCTGCCAT